ACAGGTCACTTTAAATCATTTTTTCAGTAGTCTTCACGTATTTTAAATTTTCTAAGGTAAAAAAATGTAATTAATTTTTGCTGAAACTGGTTAAAAAACTCAACAGTAACAAGCATTTATATTCCCTCATGCACATCCAAACATTCACTGTGAGCCCTAAGCAAGCTCATCTTCAACACCCTGTGGCACCGGCTCACCTGTGCCACCATCTGCTCTGGACAACCCATTTCTGGCTGGGGAATAAACCCAACACCCTCCTTGGCTGGGCAGGTCTTCCCTCCCACGTGGCCTGTCCTGGGCACCCCCTCTCCTGGCTGGGGATGAGCCAGAGCACCCCAAACACACTCCAGAGTCCTTTGTGCTCTGGGAAGCTGGAGTTGAAACCTAAAGGAAAAAAAAAATACAGGGTGTGTTAATCTAGAACTGACAAATCATGGAGAATAAAGCATTTGTTGTAGACATTGCAGTGATTTTTCAGGAGCAGGCTGCACACACTCTGCTGTCTCATTTCCAAACATGATGTTGCTTTAAAAATAAAAAAGGACCACTAAATATATTTTAACAATATTTCTTTTAAATTCAGACAAATGCTCCTTTCCAGTAAATGTCCTGTCTGTAACAAGGCATTTTAACCTCTGCCTAACTGAATTTCCCTCCCCTTGGAACAGCTGTCTCCAAATGTTATGTGCATGAATTCCAGTTCCACCCAGTAATGGGTTTTATCAGGGAACATTTGGGTGTGTTTTGTTCCAGGATTTCTCTGACACGCCAGCCAATCTTTGTCCTTTGGTTTCTCCCAAAGCCAGGAAGTTTACAGTGCATTTTCCCCACATCAAATGGCTTTCCATGAGTTTAAAAAAAAAAAAAAAACAAACAAAAAAACCAAAACACAGCAGGGTTTTTATTGCTGACCTGTGATGCTGGCAGGTAATACCAGCAGCCTCTTCTTTTCCAGGGATCTGCTGCACTGCTGACACCATCACTGTGGTGGGAGAGCACGTTCCTGAGGGCTGCAATTTCCCCCTGTAAGTTGTCAACTTCATCTTTGTTAACTGTAAATTAATCACAGGTTTAGAGGCACGCAAGGCAAATAATGAAACAAACACTGATGTTATTATCCCAATCCGAAACAAGTTGAACTGCTGGGGAAGCCAAACTAAATGCTGTATTTGGGGACATGGAAGTCAGATCCAGAACTGCTGCTCATGTTCCTCACACAGATCTCTGAGAGAGTTCTAAAGCAGCAGAAATTAAATTCACAGCACAACCTGTTTTCTGAACAGCTGTAAAAAGTGCTGTTAATACAAATGAATGAAAATTGACGCATTCCCTGTATAGAGTTGTACAAAAAGGTGTTCTGAACACTTTAATTTCCAGATTCACAGCTCAAACAACGGGAAATTTGGAATAGTTGTCTCCTTTGTCCCTGCCTCTCTGCAAGGAGTGATGAGAAAAGAGAATTACCTGTCCCAATATTATCCAACAAACATCTCAAACGCTCGATTTCTGCTTTTTGCTGCTCCATAACTTCGTTTAATTTTTCCATTTCCAACTTCTGAGGGCTCGATGCCACAGCCTTCTCTCCAGCTTTCTCCACCTCACGCTGGAACTGTTGGAAATAACGAGTTTAAATCAAGGCAAAGCTTAAATTAGATCGTGTTCAAACTTTTTGGACACTCCTGATCCACCCCTATGAACATTCTCAGTCAGCACAGGCACCACTTTGAGGGAACAGGATTGTTCTTCCCACTCTGTCACGAGACATGGGGAGGTGACTGAGGGAGCAGGGAATGGTTTTCCTTAAGAGTCCCTCACTCTGGTCAGGGAGGGTTTCATTTTGTTCCTGGGCAGGTGACAGGGGAGGGAAGAGCATCATGACTCGGGAAAACTTGGGGGGAAAAAGGGCAGGGCAAGAACCTCTAAATGTGAGGTTCTAGGAAGTCACTGTGAAGTCTTTTCCCCCAGAACACGGTACAATCTGACAGGAACAAACACCTACTTGCTCTTCCTTCTCTTTGAGGAGCTGCTGCAGCAGTTCTATTTCTGCTTCTGCCCTGGCCAGGTCCTGGGCAGCACGAGCTGCCTCAGCACAGAACTCCTCAGCCTCCTGCAGCTCCTGCAGGGAGAGTTTGAGCAGAGCTGGAGTGTGCAGGACACTCCAAAGGCTTGCAGATGTGGCACTGGGAAAAGCTGAGCAATAAGAAGCATCAGCAGCTGTTCTGGCACTGCAGGAACTGGCCAAGTTGATGGCCGGTTCAATTCAAGACAATGTTTCTCCTTTAACTTTGCCCACAGGAGGTGTCAGTTTGTAGCCAGAAAAGGTTCCCAGTTTGGGCAAGCACAAATTTCCACAGTCCTTTCTTTTGCTTCCCTCTCTCACAGAACAATGTGTTATTTATTGCTTGGCTTTCAATCAGTGAGAGGTTTAATTTGCCTCTCTCTCACCTCCCATCACACAGCAGGAACACCTGGCCAGGCCCAAATCTACTCATTCATGCTCTGCATTTCAAACCCTGCCCCAAGCAAGGGGAGCAGGACAGTGCAGAGGAAAGCTCTGAGGCTGATTGAAAGGACACCAGGACCATTCCCACTGTGATGGCACCACCCAGCAGTTGATGATGCTGCTGATTTACCTCAGCCCTCTCCTGGTTGATCCTGAGCACAGTCCCCCGGAGAGCCCTGAGCTGGTTTTTGGCCAGGGAGAGCTCTGTGGCTGCCAACTTGTCCGAGGTGACGATGGCTCTCTGCAGCTCCTTCAGCTCCTTATCCAGGCTCACCACCTGCAGCTGTGCCCTGGCATCTTCTATTTTCTTCTTTTGTATTTGAAAAGCAAGGACAAACCACACAATTAAAGCAAGCTGTTCCATTTAACCTCTGTGTTCCTGCCTGTAGCTGCTTTATCTTAGAAAGCAAAATAATTCCCAAGTTTCTGAGTCTTCTTTTCTGAGCAAACACAGTGCATGGACCTGCCCTCCCTCATCCTTACCCTCTTCTCTAAATCCTCCAGTTGAGCAAGAATAGCCTCTTTCTCCTCATCTGCCTCCTGGAGTTGCTGGTCAGCAAGGCCCTGAATCTCCTCCATGCTCTTTATTTTCTCATGTAAATGCTGGATTTCATTCTCCAGCTGATGCACCTTGTTCTTATTCTGCCTGTTTTCAGCTTTAACCTGTAAGTGAAATAAGGTAGAATGAGTAGCCAGAAATACTTTCAATTTTTTTTCTGATTTAATTAAAATTAATTTTTGAGTTTAAATTCTAATTCACCAAATAATCAGGCAAAAATCAGAATGCTAACAAGAAATAAAACCAGACTCCACTGTCACATGAAACACAAAGTGCAGCAAAGCCTCCTCTGTAATGAAACTTCATCCTTCAGCTGCAAGTTGTATTTTTTTGGACTGATCTGAAACACTGCTGCTTTAGTTGTTTGATACTTGCCTGTCTATATTTCTCCTGTAATTCTTCCAGCTTTTCCTGCTGGGACACCATCTCTTCCTGCAGTTGTCTCTGCTTAGCCCATGCTTTCTGTTTTTCCCTCTCAGCATCAGCAAGGATGTCCCTCAGTTCCCTCTGCAGCTCTGCCAGGCTTTTCCCCACAACATCCCCTGGATTTGGGCACCTGAAAGAGAGACAGAAAATACCAACTGCAAGTTGTGACGCCCAAAACTGAAATAATGAAGCCTGAGACAACAATAGTGCAAGTTTAGGACACACAATGTGCATTCTTTCTGCCCTGGGCAGCTGTTCCAAGGCTTGACAACCCTTCCAGTGAGGAAAATGTCCCCAAATATCCAATCCAAACCTCCCCTGGCACAGCTTGAGGGTGTTTCCCCTCGTCCTGTCCCTTGTGAGGTGTGGCCTTCCCAGTGCCCAGCCCAGAGGAACAATCAGGACCTCTTTCCCATGCCCACATCTGCCACTGTTTGTACTTTTGTTCTACTCACTTCATCTCCCCAGCCCCTGACTGCAGCATCTGCCTGAGCTCATTGACACAAGCCAAGACTTCCTCAGGGTGAATCAAGTTCCCAACTGCATGGTTTAGCTGCTTCTGGAGATCTTTCAGCTGTTCTTTCAGGAGATTGTTGTCTCCCAAAAAAAAAAAAAAAAAAAAAAGACAAAAAAAATCCACACAAATGTAAGTAAACAAATCCACAAATGAAAAAANAAAAAAAAGATATCACAAAACCCAAACCACAGGTCACTTTAAATCATTTTTTCAGTAGTCTTCACGTATTTTAAATTTTCTAAGGTAAAAAAATGTAATTAATTTTTGCTGAAACTGGTTAAAAAACTCAACAGTAACAAGCATTTATATTCCCTCATGCACATCCAAACATTCACTGTGAGCCCTAAGCAAGCTCATCTTCAACACCCTGTGGCACTGACTCACCTGTGCCACCATCTGCTCTGGACAACCCATTTCTGGCTGGGGAATAAACCCAACACCCTCCTTGGCTGGGCAGGTCTTCCCTCCCACGTGGCCTGTCCTGGGCACCCCCTCTCCTGGCTGGGGATGAGCCAGAGCACCCCAAACACACTCCAGAGTCCTTTGTGCTCTGGGAAGCTGGAGTTGAAACCTAAAGGAAAAAAAAAAATACAGGGTGTGTTAATCTAGAAATGACAAATCCTGGAGAATAAAGCATTTGTTGTAGACATTGCAGTGATTTTTCAGGAGCAGGCTGCACACACTCTGCTGTCTCATTTCCAAACATGATGCTGCTTTAAAAATAAAAAAGGACCACTAAATATATTTTAACAATATTTCTTTTAAATTCAGACAAATGCTCCTTTCCAGTAAATGTCCTGTCTGTAACAAGGCATTTTAACCTCTGCCTAACTGAATTTCCCTCCCCTTGGAACAGCTGTCTCCAAATGTTATGTGCATGAATTCCAGTTCCACCCAGTAATGGGGTTTTATCAGGGAACATTTGGGTGTGTTTTGTTCCAGGATTTCTCTGACACGCCAGCCAATCTTTGTCCTTTGGTTTCTCCCAAAGCCAGGAAGTTTACAGTGCATTTTCCCCACATCAAATGGCTTTCTATGAGTTTAAAAAAAAAAAAAAACAAAAAAAAAAACCCAAAACACAGCAGGGTTTTTATTGCTGACCTGTGATGCTGGCAGGTAATACCAGCAGCCTCTTCTTTTCCAGGGATCTGCTGCACTGCTGACACCATCACTGTGGTGGGAGAGCACGTTCCTGAGGGCTGCAATTTCCCCCTGTAAGTTGTCAACTTCATCTTTGTTAACTGTAAATTAATCACAGGTTTAGAGGCACGCAAGGCAAATAATGAAACAAACACTGATGTTATTATCCCAATCTGAAACAAGATTAAAAAGTTGAACTGCTGGGGAAGCCAAACTAAATGCTGTATTTGGGGACATGGAGGTGAGATCCAGAACTGCTGCTCATGTTCCTCACACAGATCTCTGAGAGAGTTCTAGAGCAGCATAAATTAAATTCACAGCACAACCTGTTTTCTAAACAGCTGTAAAAAGTAAGGTGTTCTGAACACCATGATCTCCAAATTCTCAGCTCAAACAACGGGAAATTTGGAATAGTTGTCTCCTTTGTCCCTGCCTCTCTGCAAGGAGTGATGAGAAAAGAGAATTACCTGTCCCAATATTATCCAACAAACATCTCAAACGCTCGATTTCTGCTTTTTGCTGCTCCATAACTTCGTTTAATTTTTCCATTTCCAACTTCTGAGGGCTCGATGCCACAGCCTTCTCTCCAGCTTTCTCCACCTCACGCTGGAACTGTTGGAAATAACGAGTTTAAATCAAGGCAAAGCTTAAATTAGATCGTGTTCAAACTTTTTGGACACTCCTGATCCACCCCTATGAACATCCTCAGTCAGCACAGGCACCACTTTGAGGGAACAGGATTGTTCTTCCCACTCCGTCACGAGACATGGGGAGGTGACTGAGGGAGCAGGGAATGGTTTTCCTTAAGAGTCCCTCACTCTGGTCAGGGAGGGTTTCATTTTGTTCCTGGGCAGGTGACAGGGGAGGGAAGAGCATCACGACTTGGGAAAACTTGGGGGGGAAAATGGCAGGGCAAGAACCTCTAAATGTGACGTTCTAGAAAGTCACTGCGAAGTCTTTTCCCCCAAAACACGGTACAATCTGACAGGAACAAACACCTACTTGCTCTTCCTTCTCTTTGAGGAGCTGCTGCAGCAGTTCTATTTCTGCTTCTGCCCTGGCCAGGTCCTGGGCAGCACGAGCTGCCTCAGCACAGAACTCCTCAGCCTCCTGCAGCTCCTGCAGGGAGAGTTTGAGCAGAGCTGGAGTGTGCAGGACACTCCAAAGGCTTGCAGATGTGGCACTGGGAAAAGCTGAGCAATAAGAAGCATCAGCAGCTGTTCTGGCAGTGCAGGAACTGGCCAAGTTGATGGCCAGTTCAATTCAAGACAATGTTTCTCCTTTAACTTTGCCCACAGGAGGTGTCAGTTTGTAGCCAGAAAAGGTTCCCAGTTTGGGCAAGCACAAATTTCCACAGTCCTTTCTTTTGCTTCCCTCTCTCACAGAACAATGTGTTATTTATTGCTTGGCTTTCAATCAGTGAGAGGTTTAATTTGCCTCTCTCTCACCTCCCATCACACAGCAGGAACACCTGGCCAGGCCCAAATCTACTCATTCATGCTCTGCAGTTCAAACCCTGCCCCAAGCAAGGGGAGCAGGACAGTGCAGAGGAAAGCTCTGAGGCTGACTGAAAGGACACCAGGACCATTCCCACTGTGATGGCACCACCCAGCAGTTAATGATGCTGCTGATTTACCTCAGCCCTCTCCTGGTTGATCCTGAGCACAGTCCCCCGGAGAGCCCTGAGCTGGTTTTTGGCCAGGGAGAGCTCTGTGGCTGCCAACTTGTCCGAGGTGACGATGGCTCTCTGCAGCTCCTTCAGCTCCTTATCCAGGCTCACCACCTGCAGCTGTGCCCTGGCATCTTCTATTTTCTTCTTTCGTGTTTGAAAAGCAAGGACAAACCACACAATTAAAGCAAGCTGTTCCATTTAACCTCTGTGTTCCTGCCTGTAGCTGCTTTATCTTAGAAAGCAAAATAATTCCCAAGTTTCTGAGTCTTCTTTTCTGAGCAAACACAGTGCGTGGACCTGCCCTCCCTCATCCTTACCCTCTTCTCTAAATCCTCCAGTTGAGCAAGAATAGCCTCTTTCTCCTCATCTGCCTCCTGGAGTTGCTGGTCAGCAAGGCCCTGAATCTCCTCCATGCTCTTTATTTTCTCATGTAAATGCTGGATTTCATTCTCCAACTGATGCACCTTGTTCTTATTCTGCCTGTTTTCAGCTTTAACCTGTAAGTGAAATAAGGTAGAATGAGTAGCCAGAAATACTTTCAATTTTTTTTCTGATTTAATTAATTATTGAGTTTAAATTCCAATTCACCAAATAATCAGGCAAAAATCAGAATGCCAATAAGAAATAAACCCACACTCCACTGTTACATGAAACACAAAGTGCAGCAAAGCCTCCTCTGTAATGAAACTTCATCCTTCAGCTGCAAGTTATATTTTTTTGGACTGATCTGAAACACTGCTGCTTTAGTTGTTTGATACTTGCCTGTCTATATTTCTCCTGTAATTCTTCCAGCTTTTCCTGCTGGGACACCATTTCTTCCTGCAGTTGTCTCTGCTTAGCCCATGCTTTCTGTTTTTCCCTCTCAGCATCAGCAAGGATGTCCCTCAGTTCCCTCTGCAGCTCTGCCAGGCTTTTCCCCACAACATCCCCTGGATTTGGGCACCTGAAAGAGAGACAGAAAATACCAACTGCAAGTTGTGACGCCCAAACCTGAAATAATGAAGCCTGAGACAACAACAGTGCAAGTTTAGGACACACAATGTGCATTCTTTCTGCCCTGGGCAGCCGTTCCAAGGCTTGACAACCCTTCCAGTGAGGAAAATGTCCCCAAATATCCAATCCAAACCTCTCCTGGCACAGCTTGAGGGTGTTTCCCCTCGTCCTGTCCCTTGTGAGGTGTGGCCTTCCCAGTGCCCAGCCCAGAGGAACAATCAGGACCTCTTTCCCATGCCCACATCTGCCACTGTTTGTACTTTTGTTCTACTCACCTCATCTCCCCAGCCCCTGACTGCAGCATCTGCCTGAGCTCATTGACACAAGCCAAGACTTCCTCAGGGTGAATTAAGTTCCCAACTGCATGGTTTAGCTGCTTCTGGAGATCTTTCAGCTGTTCTTTCAGGAGATTGTTGTCTCCCTAAAACAAAACAAAACATAACAAAAAAAAGACCAAAAAAATCCACACAAATGTAAGTAAACAAATCCACAAATGATAGAAGCTTAAATTATTAACACAACAAATACTTCACCTGCAGTTGTTTGAACTGAGAGAGGAGCTTGTAATTCTGTTGTTCCTTCTCTTCTGCCAGCTGTGCTTTGCTCAGAGCATTCTCTAACACCTGCCTTTCTTTCTCAAGTTCAGCTTGCAGGGCTGACAGTTCCATCTACAAACATAGAAAACCTGCAGATTGATACTCCCAACTCCCCACCCCAACCTGTCACTGAACGCACAACAGATGCCTTTCCTAAAACAGGAACAGGATGACAACACCCCCTAAAAATAAATCCCACAAAAACAATCCCAACCAAACCATCTGGACCGAAGCAAAGCTGTAAATGCCAAAGTGGTGCCACCTTCCATCTGGGGGGCACAACTGAACCAACAGTTGGAGATGTGAGAGGGAGGGAGGGAAGTTTGGTCCTCCCTCATCCCACAGGTAACCCCTGTGGCAGCACCAGAGCTCTGTTCTTACCTGGCTGAGTTGTTTCAGCCTTTCAAACTCTTCCTTTTGCTGCTTGGCCTCAGCATCTCTGTCTCTCAGCTGGGCTTCCAGCTCAGCCTCGTAGGCACTGACCCTGCCTTGGGCCTCCCGGAGGGACTCATTGATCTCCTGCTGCTCCTGCAAGGCACTCTCCAGCACTGCAATCTCCTGCAATTGCAGAGTCACTTTAGGAGGATGTAAACAGCCAGGATTGCTACAGTGCCTGCCTTCCCCTTTAACCCAGGAACTCACTAAACATTCAGACTTGAAGGGTTTAGTGTTTAAGGTCGGGTCAATCAGTGATGCAGCTCAAAAAATCCCCCCTCAGGTTAGAAAGGTGAGGTGACAGAGTGACAAAGTGATGTGTCCCTGGAGTTGAGGTTGACACAAAACTCCTCTCAGGGTGCCAAGACAGCTCTAAGTCACGGCTGCCAGGACAGCTCCAAGCTGGTAACACATCCCTGCCCAGTGTCCCATTCCCCACGGGGTCACCTTTGCAGTGATGATGCCTGAAGGGTCAAACCTGCATTTCTGAGGCATCTCCCATGAAGTTCCTATTTACTGTAGATCTCTAGTAACTGGTTTTAAAGGCCAGATTCTATTCTCAAGGTGTGTGGCCACATCTAACTGATGTTACAAGGCCACTTGTGCTTCCCTAGTCCAAATCTTTTGGTTTTTTTCAAGTTTACTCTCAGACATCTGAATTCGGGTAGAAAGGTACTAAGCCTTACTTTTCTCATATTTTCTGCATCCATGGCAACCATTTCCAGGTTGTTTTTATCCTCCTCTAGATCTGCCAACCTTTCTAGCAAAGATTCTTTGTCCTTCTGCAACTTCTTACACTCCTCATTGGCCTGTCTGGCCTGGCACTTGACACTTTGCAGGTATTCCTGCAGTCCAGTGATGATGCTTTCCAAGTCCCTTTTCAGGGCTTCGTTTGTTGCTATCTGACCTGCAGAGATGCCAAACAAACATCAGATTGTCAAGAAGCCACATTTATTTATGAAACAAACAAAAAACTCGCCTTCTTCATCTTCACTGACTTCCAGTCAGCTTCCAAACCTTATCCCTTGCCTTAAGGGAAAAGAAAATGAGGGAAAAGCCTTCAAAATTGTCTTCCCCAGCCCTGTACAAGTGAGGTGAACACACACAGTGTCCTTTCACATCAGTTAAGAACAGGTTTTCAGCATTTTCCTACACATTCCATTTGCACAAAGATGAGCAGAACTGAACCCTCAACTGTCGCGTTTTCCCAAAGAAAGGCTGGAATTAAAAAATGACCATTTACCATCGGTGAGCTGCTGCTCCAAGTCCTTGATTTCCTCGGTCTCCTTGGCAATCCTGGCCAGCATCTCATCCAGGCGGCTCTCCAGCTGCTGGCACTGTTTGGTCATCATATCCACCTGCTGCTCTTTGCCTGCCCTCTGAGCTTTCATGTGAGCCTGGCAGGGAACAGTTGGAAAGGTAAAGCATGGGCAACATCAGCAGAGATTTAAAAACCCTCCATCAGCAATACCAGTCACAAGCCCAGCACACATTGCGGTGCTTGGGGTTTTGTTTTCCCTCCCCTCCTGCCCCACAAAGAAGCCCAGATAAGCAGCAATCTGTGACCAGCAGCATTGTTTGGAGTCTCCCCCTTGCCCAGGCACAATGGATAAAGCCTGCATTTACAAATCATCCCTCATGGCTGCTGTCTTTCGTCCTGCCTTTACATTTTTTTGCTCTACCGTTTCCTCTCTCAGTCAAGAACAAACATGATTTCTTCCAGAACCTTTAATCCTGCATTGCCTTTGGAGCAGATGATGCTTTAGAACGTGTCAGGTCAGCACTCCAGGGGAAATAACTCTGAACAACCAGCAGGTCAGGCCAACTTTATAGTTGAGATTTACTTAAAGCAGAATATTTGTTATTTTATTAAAACATTTCTGGGAGACACACAGGCTTTGGCCAGGACTCGATGCATTTAGTATGAATTAGCTGATTGTTTCAGCTGTGTACAAAACGTGGTTATCAACAGAATAAAGTGCTGTTTTTCACTGCTCTGAAATTGCTCAGAAACGACTCAAATGCCAGAAACTTGGGCAAATACACAATTATAGTCACGACAAACAGCACCTTTCTGTTACTTCTCAGAAGAAGAACAAAGCGAGCCAGCGGTACAAAATTCAAATGCAAGCCCTCAGGAAAAACAGAAACCAAAACCCAAATAAACTTTGAAAGTTGCTTCCACAACAAAAGCAAACCCTGTTATTTTCTCGCATTTTGAACGGGTTAAACCGGAAGTTTAACTTTCACATCCACAGCAGCGCGATCCGACTTGTCACCACCACCTTGCTCCAAACAACCCACCCACCCACCGCTCAGCTCTCAGAAGCGAAACACCGACAATTAAACCCCAAATCGAGTCGCCGCCGCTGCTGCTGAACGTCACCCAAAAAGCAGAAAGGATGTTTAAAAACAACGAGCGCAAACACTCACAGCTTTGCCTTTGTCCTTCCTGCCCGGGATGCCACTTGGCGAGCGCCCCACCCCGAGTGGGGCTTCATTTGGAGAGCGAGCCGGGGGATTGGGGGGGCTGTGCCACGGCCGCTCCTCCGGGAGCGGGGCCGGAGCTCCCGTTCCTGTCCCCGCTCCGTCCCCGTCCCCTCTCCCTGTCCGTCCCAGTCCCCGTTCCCGGCCGTTGGTCCCGGCAGCGCTTCCTGTGTTGTGATTCGAAGCGAGGGGCGGCCGCGGGAAGGGCCGGGCTCGCTCCTGCCGTGCCCCGGGAGCCTCCCCGGCCCTTCAGCCACCCAGCAAAGGGGGGAAAAAAAAAAGTTTTAAAGCGCTCTCTTTTTGCCCCTTTTTAAAAAAGTGTAACAGTTGTGTCCTTGTTTACTCAGGAGCATCGAGCTGGCTTTAAATCCTCTCAGTGAAGATCAGCTTTTAAACTAATTAAATTTCGGGTTAGTTTAGAGTTTCTAGAGGCATGTGCTGTCCCTGAACGCAGTTAAGAACCCAGAAATCAGAAGTCCTGCCTGCCTAAGGATGACAAAAATGAAGCCCGAGCCCTCCTTGGCACAGCCGGCCGTGTCCCAGCCCTGGAGGATGGGACCTCTGAGACCTTGGTGATTCTCAGCACCGACAGCATCGCGTGTGACACAGAAAGGCCACCAGAAGATTTTGGGTTTATACTCACATGTCTTGGGTCCTCAGGGTTCACAGAAGCAAGAGAACTCTGTAGGTCTTCAAGCTCTTTCTGTTTTTTCCCTATTTCCCTTCTCTGTTTCTCTATTTGCTTTTCCAGGTCTAAGGTTTCCCTCTGCAGCTCCTGCAGGAGTTGGATCTTCTCACTCAGCTGCTGCTCAATTGCTGCTCTGTTGGCCTGGGATATCTGCAGGGGGTTGAGTGGGTTGAACTGGGAATACCCAGCTGATCAAGAACATATTTAACACTTCAATAAAGATCCTGCTCATTGATTTTAAGGCAAGTTAAAAGACTAAAAATAGCAATAATTGATGACAGTTGGAGTAATGGCAGAGACAGTTTTAGTTTAATGCTGATAAATGGCTTGACATGAATTCTTGCTGCCAATTGTGGAGCTGCATTGCCTGTTAACTGCACAGCTAAACCTACACAGCAGGTTCCTCCAGAGCATTCTGGGGAAAGTCAATCATCATCAGCAACACATGGAACATGTTTAGATGCCACTGACTGCACCACAGCTCTGCCAGCTTGTTTACAAACAAGCTCTCTACAGCCTCTCAGACTTTTCTGAGGTGTGACAAACGAGTTTATGCATGTACAGTGTCCCCTTAAAAGAGTGGGGAGAAAAAGTTGTATTTTCTAGATCAGCAGTTCTTCAAACACTTTCCTCTGCCACTTGTGGCACAACTCACTTTTTTCTGATCCAGAGCAGCCTCCAGTTGCTGCAGTTCCTTTGTAACTTTCCAAACTCTTTGTTCTGCATCTCCAATTGCACTTTGCAGTTCTTCCAACCTTCTCTGTGCTGCAGACAAAAAAAAAAAACAAACCCACAGTGCCACAGGATACATGATAATCTTGTGTTTGACATTGATACACAGTTTCTGTCACTAGAAAAATCAGCATTTTTCTTAAGGCAGTGATAATCACAGCCAAACACATTCTGGCGTCTCAAAAAGTATGTCTGGAGTTCTTGTAATGACCCTTATACAGCTAAATCAATGCATCAAATATGAAGCCTCCCTAGCTTTGTGCTTTCAACAATCTGCAGTCCTTTCATGTGGAGTTACAGTAAAATAACAGCCATAAGAAAGTGCAAGCACAGTGTTGAGAAACGACAGCACTTCTTATGTCAGTGGAATGAACCACACTGATAGATATATATAATAATTTTATTTGATTAAAAAAAAATAAGATTCTACCTGCATTGATCTTCTTCTCTTTCCTCTCCAGTAGTCCATCCAGGGTTTGGAGATGCAGTTCCAGCTGGGTTTTCCTCCAGAATTCATCTCCAGCTCTCTGCACGTGGCCCAGGTGCAGCTGCTGGGCCCTGGCAGTGATGAACCCTTCCCTAACAAACATGTTCCTCTTGTACCGGGCCTTGCCGATGTAAGGGCTCTCCCCAGGCACATCAGCAACTTCCACCTCCTGCAACCAGGGAAGCAACTTGTCCTTACCTCAGAAATGGGGCTGCAGGCAGTTCACAATTGACATTTAACTCTCTTAGCAACTCTCAAAGCAATTTGAAATGAGGATAATTACACCCCACGTGCTTGGCCTTGAATATTGTTATTTTATAACAGAATTAAAAACAAACTGACCCAGGTGGGGTGTGACCAGTTTGTTGCGAAGGTGTGATGCAAGTGGATAATTAACTGGGAGAACTTTATGTTGGGATTTTAGATTTGCTTAGATTAGACTCAGCCCATTCCATTGTTGCACTTAAATTTTACTCCTTACATAACTTAATTACAGTTAATAATTACTGAGCTTCACGTTTCTCATGGGTCTGCTTTCATTCAGCCATCTGCATATTTGTTTGCAGGTTTGACACAGAGGGTGGGAGCTCTATCAGGAGAAAGATTTCTGTGTTTTTTCTGTTCAATTTAATACCACCAAGGAAAAAGGCCTCCCAAATTAGTCCAGAAGAAGGGCCTGTCATTTGTTTGGTTACTAAAAATGAGATGTTTGCTGATGGACTCAGCTAAAACACACACACACACAGATGTGTACACTAATATTCAGCACATTAACTGTCACTCATTGTTTAGCTGAAAACTTATAAACCGTGACTTTAAAATGAAATGTTTATATTTTGTAGCTAGTAACTTTTAATTAAGCACTAGAATGATAGAAAAACTTCATTTTCCAAGTTGAAAATCGAGAGAAACAGCAAGGACAAGATCCATTCTTTTAAAAATGATTACCTCTGATGGAAAATAGTTCAAGGGCTCGAATTTGGCGTCGATCTTGTAAAAGGCCAGCTCCTGCTCCAGCTCGTACTGCTTCTGGCACGCTCGGGTCAGCTCCACTGTCTTCTGCTTCAGCTGAGGGAACAGTCAGCTGGATTTACCTAAGTGTCATCACCACTCACACTGCAGCTCTGCAGAGAGCAGGGCACAGCCACAGCTGGGAAACACAGCTCACAGTCACAGCCACAGCTCACATCACACAGCTCACATCTCATCACACAGGGCTTTGCATCCAGAACATCACAAAGTGCAGCTTCATTAGGAGCTACAGTGATGACTGAAAGCCTCACAATTAATAGAACACAAACAGATCACATGAAAGGCCTTGGAGGTTTATGTGTGTCAAAGGTTTGGAAAAGAAAGGTGTTATTAACTTTGGATTAAAAAAAAAAATAATTTGGTTGTGATCCTTCAGCAACATCCAGGCCAAATAATAAATGTTGCTACCCATGAGTAGAGAAATTATTAACACTCATGGCCTGTAAAAGAAACAAAATATCTCAGCTGCCAGTCTGTGAATTTTATTTTAGCTTAACTTTGTAGGTCTTAATGCTATTTTTAAGTAAAGGTCCATCATGTGATTTCATTTTAAATCAACTTTTCACACTGAATACCTGAGGGAGAACATGCAGCACAATTCCAACAGACAGTGGAAAGCAGGACTAACGGAGGAAAAGATAAGAACAGGAAAGGCTTCAAGAAAGATTGTAATACCTGATAAAATGCCATGCAAAAATTAACTGTGTTTCAGGGAAAAAAACAACAAAAAAAAATCAAGAAAATTGTATCCAAACCCACAGTGAACACTTCATACCAACGTTGCTACTTCAGTGAAAGGGCAAATACACCCTAAAAATTAAATATCCATGCAAGCAGGAGCACAGGGGGGGTACCTTCAGTGAGGAACAAAGGCTCTGCAGAAAGGGGGCTGGCACAAAGCACCACACCAGCTGAAGGAGGAGAGAGGCAAGCACAGTTGTCACCCCGGGGGCAACAGCGGGCTCAGCTTGCAAAGAATTCGCTGCTAAATCTCAGTATACCCAAAATTCCACTTCAGGAACAGATTGCTGGTTAGTGGGGTGTGTTCAGAGAATGAACTGCTCTAAAGTGTTAACTGTCAACAGCCCGGAGGGGGAAGTTTTAGAGGACAAGTCTAACAAGGTAAAATCCATCTATTAAGTTCCCATCACTCTCATGTCAACAGGACTTGCCTTGCATTTCACAGCTACCAATGAAAGACATTCAAAGACAAGATTTTAGGATGATGTGAAGAAAATACAACTAAACCAGTGGACATCACCCAAAATAACAATCAGGGGCTATTACTGACATACAGCTCAATGCACATCTTGGTTTGGGAGAAGTATTAACTTTTTCCCTTGTTGCAGCAGCAGGTTAGAGCAGAATATTTCAGTGCATCAGCACTTTAGCAGCCAGAGGACACTTAACCTTTCACCAACTGACCAAATTTTAAACAAAAATAAACAACTCCCAGACACAAGCAAACAAGTTACCGTAAATGGCAAGAGTGATGCTGACTGCTGGCTCAATATACTTACTCTTTCTACAGAAAGAATGTTGCAGAACCACTGGTAAACAAAAACACCCTTTAGACAGCTGAAGTCCCCAAGGTTTGTCCCAGTTTTGAACATGAATCTCCAGCCATTTGAACCCTCTCACTGCCAACTCTGTGTGCAAGTATTTGCTCAGTGCAGGGGATGACCTTACCAGCTCATTTTTGGTGCCCAGGTCCCTTTGGAGGTCTTCAAAGCTTTGTTTCTGTTGCAAAGTCTTTTCTTTCAGTGATTTGTTGACCTCGTCTTGATGGTGAAGCTGCTCCAGCACCTTGGACTGGGTCAGTTTGAGGTTCTCCATCTCCTTTACTGTGTTTTCCAACTCTCTCTCTAATTTTTCGATCTCCTCTGCAAACCAGAAAGACAGAAACGTTCAAATAGAAAAATCTTCTCCTCTTAAACTTCAATTTTGGTGTCACCCCCTTTAGATTTAACTTGCTCTTACCTAAATTAAACCTCTCCAGAGCTTCCTGCCTGTCGTGATTTGTCACTGGCTGCCCATCCAGGTTTTCCAGAGCTCTCAGGTGGAAGATGGTGTAGAGGCAGCAGTGAGGCAGATTTCCAACGGGATTATCAGCAAGGAACAGAGAGGTCAGGTCTTGGAGAGGCTTTAGTTTAGTTATGTCATGGAGCTAAAGCAAAGAGAAAAGGAACAGTGATTAGACATCCTTCCAAGAACAGTTAAACCCCCCTGAGGGAATTTCTGATGGTGCAGAATGTCTTAAGTTTGTATCCAAGGATCTAGTTTAGTGTTCATGCTACAGAGTAATCTCTAAAACCCTACACAAACACACAGCCCTCTGACTAAAGCCACTGCCTAAATTCAGATGGCTTCTTCTACCAAAAAAGGGAAAGAAGGTAAATTTAATGAAGTCTGGTCTTGGAAATTCCAAGACACCAAGGCCTGTGGATATGGATAACCTTCCAAAAACTCCCACTCTCCCAAACAGCATCACACAGGTTTGTGTCTTGAAAACCTGGCTCAGAAGGAGTTTTTCTGATCAAAAGGAAATGCACTCAGCAATTCTTCAGAGTGAGCCAAGCAGTGTGAATGCAGCAGATGACTCCTGAAAGGCTCCTTTGCAAAGCCTGTCAGTGCCTCCCCTCACTCACTGATGACAGCTTGTTGTGGGTCAGGTTGAGGACACGGAGGGATCGCAGCTTCTTCCCCACCCACACAGGGATGTGCTCGATCTCATTCCCTGCCAGGTCCAGCTTCTGGAGGTTCTGCAGATGTTCCAGACCCTCAATTTTGCTGCAAAAGAGAACAAAAAGATAGCTTAGCAAGAGCCACAGCACATTTCCAGGCAAGCTGCAGCAAAGTCTGCCTCACATAATTAACCAGATCAGGAAGAACAGTTATTCACTGCCATGGACTCACAGTTCAAGTTAAATTAAATCAATTTACTTACAGGCACTAAAGCAAGATCAAAAACCACAGCAGGACTTTTCTGTCTCTGTGACAAAATCTTTACTTTTACTCTTTCTCTCCTGAGAACCTTATGGGACAAAGATGAACCCAAATAAACAAGTTTTAGTGTTTGGGGTTTTTTTCCCATACAAAGAAGGATCAACTGTAAAGCGACAGCATGAAGAGCTACATTTGTCAGTGTTTTATTAAAACAGTAAATATTGAGGAAACCATTCAGGTATTTATCCAAAGATGTGATTATTGTTACAAAGAACAGCAGAATGTGCTCTTGTATACATTATTAATTAAATATATACCAGCTGTACACAAACACAGAGCAGTAGCTCAAAGCTCCCCTGCCCTTCTCAAATCCTGTTGAGAGAGGAAGTTGTGTGAATGCCACGTGAGGAAACCTGTGTTTACACACTTCCCATCCTCAACTTCTCCACTGAAACTGCAGCTCCTCTGCTGCAGCGTGGGTTTCATCACAGCAAAGATCACATTTCACTGACAGAAACATTAAAAGCAGTGAAAAATAATTTGCTGGGGTATGAACCATCACCCTTCAACACTTTTAAGCCACTCAAACAACACTCCAGCCTCTCCAAACAGTCCAAAAGCAGTTCAGTGGTTTCCCTGCCTGCCTGATCAAGCCCATTCAGCTTCCTCTCCTAAAAAGGAAACTTATTATGTTACCTGGAATAACAAGCAGTAAAAGCTTAATTAAATTTTTAAGGCATTTAATTGGGTTCTCGCACTGTGGGATCTGGAAACCTGCACTTCTGGCTTGGTTTCCAAGGAAAACAAATTTAACCACAGCACTGACAGCACTTCCCAGAACTATTTATGCTTCCAACACCAAAGAGTCTGGGCTCCCCACACCTGCCCAGCTTTGCTCCCACCTGATCCTGTTGCAGGACAAGTTGAGCTCCCGTAACTTCAGCAGTTTGTCCAACTTCTCCATCTTCTCGATCTGGTTGTTGCTAAGATTGAGTGTCTCCAGCTGAGAGCATTTTTCCAGATTTTCTATGTACTGAAGAACAGGAAATTAATCCCTCAGCATTGCAGGGTTGTGTTTTTTTTTAAAGGAAAAGCAGATTTCTGTTTTTACCAACCACCTGTTGCCTACCAATACCAAGTGTTCTAACATTTAATTAATCACAGTTCTACTGCTGGGTTCTAAAACCTCACTTTAGGTACAGACTTGCATAGTGCTGGAAGAGGAAAAACTGGATTTTAAGTTTACAGTGGACCAGTCTCATTTACATGAAAGAGAATATCCCATTAAAAACCACACCCCCAAAAACCAAACCAGCACAATCCAAAAGCTAAAAATATCACATAAATTAATGCTGTTTTAGACATCACTCTAATTAATCAGTTGTTTTTCTTTTTGCTTTTTTTTTTAGCAGAAGCTGTTTGCAGAACTAAGCTAAGAGAATATGGTGTTCGTATCCACTTAAAATAAACCTTTGCTAAAAAATAACCAAAAATCAACTTTAAGCTTGGTTTCATGACCAGTTATTGTCAAAAACCTTACCTTGAACTTTTTGTCCCCATCTTTTGGGGAAGAAAGATTCAGTGAGCTTATACATGCCAAGTTTTGCTGTTTGGACAGAGCCTTTATGAGGGGCTCAGTGATGTACTTAACTCCTGGGGTAACACCATTTTCACCTGAAATTAAACACAGGAACCACCTTTAGCAGTGAAAAGAACTGGTGACTCTCATATTAGTTTTGAATTTCACTCTGAATATTGGTAAAACATTGAAAATGGATGGACCACTGGATGAGGAGAACCAGCACATCAGAAGCATTTACAGGGAGGACTAAAAGTCTCATTACTCTCATTTCCTCATTTGAGTTCCAAAAAAAAAAACCAAAAAATGATGAAAGCAAGTTTTTCAGGCTTCTTTCCAACAGATCTGACATCCTTAACCACACAGCTCCCAGAACACTGGCTTTTCATGCCTGCGGCGTGCACTTTTCCACCAGCAGTTCTTCATCATACAAACCTTTCCGAAACTTCAAAGCAGCTCCCACGTTCTCTGCCGGAATGTCCAGTTGCTGGCATACCTGCTCCAGGCTTTTGGGAGCAGCTGGAGGTGTCTGCTGGCCGAGGGGAGATGGGGAGCTGGTACCTGAGCTGACAGGGGACATGGCACGTGGTGTCTGAGGAGCTGATTTTCTGCCCGGTGCTTTTCTCACAGAGCCTTTCCTCATCTCCAAAAATCCCAGATGTCACAGGGCAGTGCCTGGAAGGACGGAAAGGAACATCAGGATAAATCTTAAAGGCATTCCCAGAGTTTCCCTTCCTGCAAACAAATTATCTCGTGACTGCCTGGGAAATTCCAGAGGATGTTAACATTAGGCACTTGTCCCAGTGAAGAAGATGTTTCCCCAGGGATAAGGGGAGGAAAAGCCACGGGCAAAGTCCTGTGGGACGAGTCCCTTGTAGGGATCATCTCCAGGGACTGAGTTTTATGGACACCTACACCCAGTGAACAAAGAGCAGTTTTAAGACAAAAAGAGAGAAAAGCACGACTTTAGGGCAAGTTGGAGCTCTGTGACTGATCACGTTATGTCTTCACAATTTGTTCTTGGATGAAACGGATTTTTTTTCCCTCCAAAACTGGAAAGGAACCAAAGTCAATGACAGAGGCGCAAAGAAAAGCCACTCTTTCCCATCCATTCCATCCAACAGGACCAGGAACGTGAGAGAGGAAGGGACAGCAGAGGGAGAGAGATGCCGCGGGCGTGTCTCGCTGTCGCAGGGAGCGCAGTTGTCATTTCCACGCCGTTTCCTGAGCGCAAATCGCGGTTTGCAGTGACACCCACGGCACAGCAGGAGGGAAAGGGAGGCTGGCCTGGGGGTTCCCCCCCTCCCCGCCGGGGGTTCTGGGTTCCCGCAGTGCCCCCCATCCCCTCCCCGGGGCCGCACCGAGGCCGATGTGGGTCCCGCCGCTCCCCGCGTCCCCTCAGGCGGCCGCTTTGATTACCTGCGTTGACATGGTAACGCCGGGCCACCGCTCGCCGCCCGCGGCGGGCAGGGCGGCCCCTGGGGCGCTCCCGGGAGGGTGGCAGCGGCTCTCAGCGCGCCTCCCCGCCGCCTCCTCGCCCTCACCGAGCGATCGCCACTCACCCACCCCGCCCGCCCAGCCGAGGGGGCTGCGGCTCCTTTAAGGGCGCCGCCTGAGGGGCCGCCCCGCCGCCATTTTGTCCGGCGGGCCCGGAGGGTGAGAGGGAAGGGGACGGGGCGGGGCTGTGTGGAGGCCACGCCCCTCCCGCTCGCCGTTCCCGCCCCTCAGACCCCGCCCCCTCCCCGCGCCGTGAGGGGACCCGGGGTGGTTTAAACAGGAATCGATGTGTGAAAATAAAACCCGGAGGAGTTTGGGGGTAATTAAAGCCCGAATCGCTGCATAAACAACGGAACTTGCTCTTCTCGTGGCTATTTTTTTTTTTACTTATCTACTTTTCCTGTGTCACACCGCAAACCTGCGTAAATAGGTTTTGTGCTGTAATGTTTGGAAATATTGGTAGGTCTAAATCCCCACCGTGTCCACAGAGGCGTGTAAATAAATCTCTTTTAACTCCCCTGGGCTGTGTTAGTTTGGGATTGCTACGACCAGTTGTGAAACGCAGGGCTGGGAATACCATCAGGCTGTATATGAGGAAAAACGTGTGGAAGGGGCATCATTAGATTTTAAAAAAACCACTATTTCACAGTATTGTTAGGCCTTCAAAGCGTTTTCCAATTTTCCCAATTCCAATTTTCCCAATTCCAATTTTTCCAATTCCAGCGTTTTACTCTTTGCGTCTTACCATTTATAAACCGCCCACATAAACTTACTGGTGTTTAATAATCGGTATTTTGGCCATTCGCTTCACGAAGCCCCTCCCATTTTATAAGATTTTATCATCTCTTCCCTTGCAGTTTATTACGTCTGGGAAAAACCCGAGCTGACCTTACTGTTAACTGAATTTTCTATTGATCAGGAATAGTTTTGTAAATGCCTTTCCCGTAAAGGTTGACCGCAGTATTTGTTTAAACTTCAGCATTCTTGCACAACTCTGTTTAACTTTACCTAAACCTGTTTGTTTGTGGTGCTGTCTCGGCTCTCAGACCTGCAAAGGTTTTGTCACCAAAGGTTGTGGGATTTTTTTTGTTTGTTTTTTTTTAATTGCTTTTTAAAACAGTGCATGTTGTTGATATTTTGTGCCCCAATGTTTTCATGTGACAACTTTATTTATAATGGAAATACTCGAGAAGTTGGCATAAAGAGGAATGCAAATGGACAAACGAAATTTGGAGGGGAAGAGTTATTTCCAAACACAAAGTTCTGATTTAAACGTATTCAGGATGTTTGATACCACTCCAAATGCGTTTTGTCCTTGAGACAAAAATTGCAAATCCCTTTGATTGAAATAAAAATTATTTCATGAAGGACAAATTGAATCTATTTTTTTTCTGGCTGGTTGCTGGGGTTTTTTTCTACCTCGGAAAATGATTTTATTGAATGTCATTGCCAGAGGGTGAGGACTGACTCAGGGTTGCTTTGGACACATTAAAAATGAAAATATATAAAAATGAAAATATATAAAAATGCATATATAATGAATATATGTTAATATATAAAAATGAAATATATATATAAATGAATATATAGTGAATATATATGAATATATAAAATGAAATATATATGAGTGCATAATGAATATATGTGAATATATAAAAATGAAAAAAATTCCTAAGTTTAGCTGTTTTGGCTTGCTTGGGAGAGGCAAACAACATTTTAATAAAAGGTGATCTGTGATTAATGATTAACTGGGAGGGGAGTGTGCTGGTGGCTCTGCTGTCCCTCCCCAGCACTGAGGGTTTAACCCAGCCCCAGTAACCCCACTCTGTGCTGCTCTCACAGGCACAATGACTGGTTTGATATGTCTGATTGCTTTGCTATTTTCTGGAACAGCTTTTAGCCAAGAGAAAACGTAAGTACAGCAACTGCAGAATTTACTGGAAATGGCACTTGATCGTTGTCTGCTCTTGTGGATAAACAGAGCCAGAATTTACAGAGCCAATACAAAGAGCGCCATGAAAATAGCTTTTTAATTGTGTCTTAGAATAACTCTGCCTGATTATCTTGCTTGCTTTATGAACCGAATTAAAAATAGGAAAAAGGAATCCCAAAGAAATCTAACTCCATTACCTTTTATTGTTTTATATTCCATATACAGGTATGTCCTTACAGCACCAAAGATCTTCCGAGCTGGGGCCTCTCAGGAAGTTGTAGTTCAAGCTTTTGGTTACAACGAGGAATTTCCAGTCAATATTGCCCTGAAAAGCTTTCCAGATAAATCTACTGTTTATTCTTCTGGTTTGATTACTTTAACTCCAGCCAACAAATTCCAAAAGTCTGTAACTTTGACAGTAAGGAATTCGGATTTTTCTTACACTCTTTCTATTCTCATGCTTAGTGATAAGTGTTAAAAATTATTATGGTGAGTTTTCAGTTGTTTAAACTGGGAAAGGAAGCCTAAAAGCCCCATTTTGTTATGTCTGAAATTCAAATTACGTGGAGCGAAATAGGTGGAGTTGAACACAGAATCAATTTTTTTTTTGTTTTTTTTAGAGACATTATCCTGGTTGCATAATTTTATAAAAATAAAGAGAATCAAACTAAACCACCTGTGGTGGTTTATTTTTGGTGTGGCCAGGATTTCTTATGTGTATAAATAGAAGTCTGATCACTTGTACTGTTGTAACCTCATAACTGGGCTTTGAACTTTGCTGGTTTAGCTCTGGGAAGAAATAAATGCAAAATTTCAAATATATATTCAAATAATACTCCAGATCATCACCCCTCATGTCAGCAAGAATAAACCCCTTGTGAGTGCTGATATTTTTATTTAAAGATACTCAACCACAGGGCAGGAACTGCTATTCAGATACTATTCTCACCAAGAAGTACTGCTGGGAAAAAAATACTTTAATATCCTTTAAAAACCTTGATTTCATCTCCCCCAGCTTCAACCAACAGATTTACCAAGAACTGATAATTCAGAGAAGTATTTGTACTTGGAAGCCGTTTCTCCACATTTTACAAGAGTGAAAAAAATCCCAGTTTCCTACGAGAATGGGTTTCTCTTTATTCACACAGACAAACCAATTTACACTCCCGATCAGTCAGGTAAATGGAGCTTATTTGTCTTGGCTGGTATTTCAGTTTTAAACCTGTGGACTCTGCCAAGGAATTAGGATTTTAAGTGTTCTTTAACCTCCTGGTTATGTTTCGTTGCCATCAGCTGCTATTTCATTTTTTAATCAGCTGTAATAATGCCTGGAACTATTTGTCAATGTTGTAAAAATTAATAACTTCTCCCTATATCCTCTCAATCCCTGCCCTTCTCACCTTAAATGACTAATTTGTGGCACAAGAGCGAATGATCTTCCTGGGAATATGTTAAAAATATTGGGGATTTTTTGGTTGCTCAGATTTGTTGTGGTTTTTTTTTCTTTAAATCTCTATTATGGTTTGACTTTTTGAGATTTATTGCTACAATTCTTCCAGTGAAAATCAGAGTTTACTCTCTGAATGAAGAACTGCAGCCAGCTCAGAGAGAGACTGTCCTGACTTTTGTGGTGAGTTGTAATTGAATTTAATATTAACACTCTGTAGCTCTAAGAACAACTAAAAGTAGTTAGATGGTGAGTCAGTGTTGCAATCAATATTTAATAAAACTGCAGGTAGCCACACATCTTTGAAAAGATCTCAAAATGCACAGCTGGATAGAAGTTTCCAAGTCCCAGATCTGAAGTTGTTACAGAATAGAAAAAAGGAGGAAAAAAAAAAAAAAGGAAAAAAAATTATCTTTAATAGTAATATTATGTGGGTTTCCTACTGTTTGTTTCATTTAAGATATAAAAATAAGAACAATTTGTCACGAATTTTTTCTTTCCTCTTTGAATTTCAAGGATCCCGAAGGAGTAGAAGTGGATATTTTAGAAGAAAAAGACTTTACTGGAATAGTTTCATTTCCTGACTTCAAGATTCCTTCTAATCCCAAGTAATTTGTTTAATGCTTTTGTGTGAATGATTAACATAATGATTTAAAGTGATTTTCATGGAGTGGTTTTGCATGATGGGCATGTCTTGAAACTTGGAGATGTCTGATATTTCCCATAGGTGGACCCATAGTATAAATAATTATAAATATAACCAAGAATTCTCCTCAAAGAACACTTAGTGGTAGGTTTGTTGTGCTCAGTTAAGAAGGAAGATTAATTAACAATGAAAGTTTTCCACTGTAGAGACAGAAACAGCATCAAAGATGTGTTGATTTCAGGGAGGGGGGATGTCCATATTTCACACGGGTATCCTTACAAATCACCAGGATTTTTCCAAGAACAGCAGCCCAAAAAAATAAATATCATTTCAGTTCTCCTTTCAGTCTTGAGGGGGTGCTGAAGCTTTTCTGAGCTGGCAGAGGGTGCAAGAGGGGCTTGGAAACGCGGGGTTAGGCTGATTTCATTTTCCAGCTCCTTCCAGTCCTTTAAAACCAGTTGCAAATAATTATTAACATACCAAAGAGAATTCTCTCAAAGCTGACACTGACACTCTGATGCAGAACTCTCCTCTCAGAACAATTCTTAACATGAAATATTGTCAATTTTTGCCTCCAACATCAACTTTCCCCTTAAAAACACTTTGATTGTTAACGTTTGGCAGGTATGGGATTTGGAAGATTGTAGCCAAATATAAGAAGGATTTTGTAACCTCAGCTGTGGCACAGTTTGAAGTGAAGGAATATGGTAAGATGTGGCCAGACTGTCAACCTTCATTTTTTATGTATTTTTAATCACTCAGCCCCCTTGAGAGCACAGTGATCCTGGGGTGGCATCTCTGGGTTCAGGCATAAACCACATCCAAGTGCCTTTGTTTTCTGCTCAATTTACAGCAATGCCAAGCTTTTCCATCACCATAGAGCCAGAGAGCCACTTTATCAGCTCTGATAAATTTGAGAGCTTCAGGATTGTTGTGAAAGCGAGGTAAGGAAATCTGGCTTGGATTTCTTAACACTTTCGTGTCTCTTCTTCTTCTTCCACCTGAAGGATGATTCTCCTGCGTCCAGTATTTCCCTTCTTCAAAGAAGCCCTTTCATCCAAATCCTCTCTGCTCTGTCAGAGAACTAAGTGACCCCTCTGAAAATCCTTCCAAAGGGATAATTTTCCCACCCAAGTGTTCCCCACCCATTTGTGTTCCATCTCCTGCCCCGGGGGAATGAATCTTCTCCAAAAACAAATACCTTGTTGCACCTATTAAAGCCACCTTAAAAACCTTTACAATGTTGGTTTCTTCTCAGCTATTTTTATAACAAAAAGCTTCCGAGTGCTGATGTTTTCCTTCGGTTTGGAATAATTGACAGAGGGGAAAAAACGATGATGCCCAAGGCGATACAGGTCACCAGGGTAAGGAGCTGCAAGTCTGCTCTGTGTACAGTTTGTGTGCTTGGTTCAGGATCTAATTCCACTCAAGCTTTTCCACTCAATTTGGGCCTCCAGTCCCACTTTGCATCCACAGCTCCCCACTGCCAACTTTTTCTGTGCCATCAGGGGCAGAGAAATTCACTTTAACTCAGGGGCAGCATCTCAGACAGTGCCATTTCAATCTGCTTTAATTCCTTTCTTGGCCAAACTGATTAAAATTTCTATGAGGTAACTGCAGTGCTGCCAGAATGAACAAGAGAAACCAAATGGGGACAAACAGATCAAAATCATATTGATTTATTGTGGGGAGCCTGTTCTCCACTAATTGCCTCCTTTCCTCATTTAGTGCAGATATCTCTGTGTTATTTCTGCCCCTTGTTGGCCCTGCCTGCAAACTTTGCAATGTGTGCCACTGGTGGATTAATTAGCAATAATTTTAGGCAATAAAGAATTTTTCTTCATTAAAACAGCACCTTTGTTTTTCCTCTAAAAATAAACACTGACCAGAACACACATTGAATTTACAAATAGGTTATCTAAATAAAGTTTCTAAATTATTGACTCTAAAGTGACGGTTTCTGTGTCATTCCCAGATCGAAGATGGAGTTGCTGTGATCGACTTTAACAGTAAGGAAGCCACAAGTTCCCTAGGGTTCCAAAGTCTGGAAGAATTGGATGGGTCCTATTTATATATTGTGGCATCAGTGTTGGAGTCTAGAGGTAAGTTGCTTTTTAATTGAGGGTTTTTTTTAAACACATCTGAACAGGGCTAGAAAAGAAAATTATAGGGATAACTTTCCTAATATCAAGCTTCTTTTAATATCCAGAAGTTCTTCCAAAACCTGTAAGGAAGTTGGTAAAAATGTCGAGGGATTAAACTTTTTTTTTTTTTTTTTAACTATCTGTTTTCACAAGAGTGTTGGGAGTTGACTCTTAGAATTTCACAGACAGCTTGTGCTGCCCTGGGAAGGCAAGGGGAGCAGGGATGGGAATGTCTGCAGGATGGGAATGTTCAAAAATGCCTCGTGTTTTCCCAGGTGGCCTCAGCGGGGAGGTGGAGTTCTCTGGAGTCAGGTTTGCTGTGTCCCCCTACAAGCTGAGTTTGATTGCTACTCCTCTCTTTGCGAAGCCTGGCCTCCCCTTCTTCATTAAGGTCAGTGCCCCCTGCAACATGAACCCCACCAGGATAACCCTTTCCCTTTTTTTTTTTTTTTTTTTTGGATATATTGCTGTGCACTTCCAATTTCCACCGACTCCTACAGCTTTCCAATGCCCTGTTGCACAACCAGCTTGGAAGCTTTTCCTTAAAAAAATGTCCCCGCTCATCCCAGCACTGTTACTGATTGCCGTGAACAGGTGCAGGTGAAGGACACAGTGGATGCCCCGGTTGGAAATGTCCCCGTAACTGTCACTGCCAAATCCCTGAGCGAGCAGATGGATGAGACCGAGCTGATAGCAGAGGGCGCCGAGTCGGGGAGGCGGGAAACGAGCGTCAGTGATGGCACTGCTTTGTTTGTCCTGAATGTCCCATCAGACAGCCGAATGGTGGAGTTTCAGGTGAGTTAAATTGTCGCATTGACCTCTTTCTCCGAGGGTTTAATCGTACCTTTGGAATGTGCAGCGCGAGCGGGGAGGATTTGGCACTCCAGGGTTTGTGGACCTGGGGGCTGTTGCAAAGAATGGGTTATGAAATGCAGCTGCTCTGAGGAAACATCACCTCTCCGTTCAAGTCCTTTCCTGCTCTGTTTATTTATGCACTGCCCTTTTATTTTTGACTGGATATTCAGAGATATTTTTATTAAAGGAAACGTTAAAATCTTGACTTTTGTTCTATTCATCCCTCTCAACAATATAGTGAGCAGAGTGATTTTAGTGTTGTCATTCCTTAGGTATAATTCTATATAAACTCTGCAGACATTTTATTCCCTTCTCAGGTGAAAACTGCAGATCCACGGCTTGAAGATGAAAACCAAGCCAGCAAAACCTATGAAGCCAAAACTTACTCATCCCTGAGTCAGAGTTACCTGTACATTGACTGGGCTTCAAACCACAGAACACTGGAAGTAGGGGATGTCATAAATGTCAATATTTATCCACGCAGCCACTACATTAATAAAATCCATCACTACAGCTACTTGGTAAGTAACAGGTGCATGAAATATTGAACTGTAGTGGTCAGAAATTAAAAGCCTCAGCATGGAATAGGAGCAGCTCAGTCAGCTGCTCCCTGCAGATGCAATCTGTCAGTTTTAGAGGGAAAAATTGTTGGTAAACTCATGTGTAAATGATGTATTCAGTCTCCATTGTTTTTAATTCTCATCTGACATTGACTGGGATTGAGAGCAAGTCGTGCCAGTCTCAAGAGCTATTTCAGAAGCTGAAATGTGGAGGAAGGAAAAGAGGTGCAGAGACAGCACTTGGTTTTAGGGGAGGAGGGAGAGAAACCCCTTCCCTTGAACTGCAGCCACTGGTCCCAAGTGCATTTTGGTCAGTGGTAGATTATATCTAAATGCAATCAATTACATGTGAAAAATACATTGAATATAAAATTTGACTTTGTTATTCTCCTTTTTTTTTTTTTTCATTATTATTATTATAGATCACATCCAAAGGGAAGATAGTAAGCTTTGGAACTCAGCAGAGAAACAAGGATTTGGCATACGAACATCTAACGTTTCAGATAACCCAGGAGATGGTTCCCTCGGCACGTCTGATCGTTTACTACATTGTTACAGGAGAAGAAACTGCTGAGTTAGTGGCTGATTCAGTGTGGCTGGATGTGGAGCAGAGGTGTGAGAACAGTCTCAAGGTGAGCAGCAGAGCAGGCACTGAAATTCCTGGGTGTGCATTCACTTCGTGGGCAGATTTTTATCTTCAGTTTACACAAGTTCTTAAACACTCCCTGCCCTCGGCTGGATTGATTTTGGAACGACGTGCTTTCCAAATGACCCACTTTTGTTTTCAATTTACAGGTTAAGCTGCAGCCAAGCGAAGAGGCACCGAAGCCAGGGAAGGTTGTGTCACTCACCATGGAAACACGCTTCGAATCCTTTGTTGCTTTGTCATCCATTGACAAGGCAATATATGGAGTCACAGGAAGGAAAAAGAGAGCCATGGAAAAGGTGAAGGAGCAGCCAGAAAAGAAAATCGAGTTGTTCCTTGTTTCACTTTCACAGTCAGGTTCTGTGACGTGCCATCCATGCATCCAGTCAGCCTGAAAACAGGCAGAAGGGCAATTCAAACCAGAAGAAAAGCTCAAAACTATAACGGTTTTTCTCCTCAGATAATGCTCCACTTGGAGAAGAGCGACCTGGGCTGCGGGGCCGGCGGGGGCAGGAACAACGTGGACGTGTTTCGGATGGCTGGGCTCACCTTCCTCACCAACGCCAATGCTGATGACTCCAGTGCAGCAGGTGCATTCCTGGGGGTCATGGAAATGGGGATCCTGTTCTCTGAAACGTTGCATTGTCATTGTCACTCCTTCTGGTGGAACTCATGGAAGTATTAGAAGGAAAACACCACTCGTGGCTCCGTTGCTGCCATGAAAATGAGGATCCTTTCATGCCATCAAAACAGCAAGCAGCAAAATTGCCCCAAATTCAGGGTGTGATTTTATGGGCTTCATTTTTAAGAGGACTCTGCTGTTACAAAAGAAGGGAATGTCTTTTGTACTTATTTTTTGTGTATTTATTTGGGCAGATGAAACTTGCGACGCAGTGGTGAGAAGCAAACGGTCTGCCTTCAAGGACAAGATACTCGAAGAAGGTGTTAAAATTATTTTAAAGTATATAATTATATATTATGTCTAATTGTCTAATTATGAAAAAAAAAATCACATCCATTAGGAATCAAGGGTCTAAATGTTTGCTTAATACTTGTAATGTCTTGGAGAGAGAGAGAGAGACTGGCAAATAGAGAAGATGACTTTAGAGAGGATCTTATTTATAAAGCCCTTTTGGCATTTGCTGAATTTGAAGTCAGTAAAATTTCAATTCACACTGAAAATGCAGCATTTGGTTAAGAGCTAAGTTCCCTGATCTAGTGGAAGGTGGCCCTGCCTGTGGCAGGAGGTGGAATCTTTAAGGTGCCTTCCAGCCCAAACCAGTCTGTGGTTCTGTAATATTTGCTTTTTCTGAAGAGACAGAGCTAAAAACTCCCAGGCAGAAGAACCTTTGACTGATAAACCTGCAAACATAACCCAGCTCCTCTCATCTAATTTCCATTTTTAATTCAGAATAGGGATTATTACACTTTCGAAAAATCCCCTCCTCTAAGCTTTCACCTTCAGTGCAATCCTGCAAACAACTCGAGGTGCTTTTGGAAACCAAAACCCCATCTGAGGGCAGGGAATTGTTCTCTTTCCGTGGCAGCCTCCAAATACAAAAGTTCGGACATCAGGAAGTGCTGCATGGCCGGGGTCAGGGCGTACCCCGTGTCTGAGACCTGCAGTGACAGAGCCCAGAGAATCCGCAGGAACCAGAGGTGCATTTCTGCCTTCAAGCACTGCTGTGAATTCGCCAACAGGCTGAGGCTGGAGGAGCCCAACAAGCTGCTGATCCTGGCCAGAATGCGTGAGTATGGGAGCCCCCTGTGCCAGCAGGGTGGGGGGAAAGGCAGAGGTTGGACCTGTGGAATTCCTCCTCTCCCAGTCTCTCCCTACAACTGCTTGTTTAATCTGTCAGGAGATTGGACAGGTGTAAATGGAGGAGGTGAGATTAACACAGACTTTTTTAACTGAGGGCATTCACACACCTTTTTACTTGTCTCAGGACTAACCTGAGCCAAGTGAGCAAAATACAGCATCAGGAAATTAAAACAGAAAGATGATGATGAAGCCTTCGGTGGCCACTGGCAGATGGTTTCGTTGGGTTTTTCTGATTTGCTTTGTTTATGTTCTTCAGATTTTGAGGCTGGTTTGGAGCTGGATGAGGCACAAGTTCGCAGCTACTTCCCTGAGAGCTGGCTATGGGAAGTTCACCAAGTTTCCCCAAGGTACTGCTTTCCTCAAATCAGCTTTATAGATAGAAAGGAAGTGCTAACCTGGGGGTAGGCTGGGTAGTGTGTGCTGAAATACAATCATCAAAAAAAAAAAAAAACTACTCCTGCCATGTTTCCCTGGGGCAGGGTATGCTGATTGGGGTCACTTTCACTTTCAACCTTGCTAAATGCCACTTCCTGTGAAATCAACTAAACCCGGGTTCACTCAAACCACGTTGCAGAGTTTCTGTTCCCTAACTGTGTCCTCACTGCTCACCTGAGTCCCTCAGGCGTAGGAGTTGCTCTGGGCAGGTCCTGTTGTTGTGCTGATTGAGCTGATGGTGTTTCCAGAGGGCCGATGGTACTGAATAAATGGGTTACCCACCTGTCAAAGACTCTGTCTGTCACCCTGCCTGACTCACTGACCACCTGGGAAATACAAGGTGTTGGCATTTCCGAGAAAGGTAAGCACTGCAAGCTAATGAGTTTGGAGCTGAAGAACTGGGGAGCTTGGCAGAACTAAAACGTTCGCTTTCCAGCTGATAAACAGGCAAACACCAAAATCCGCACTTTAGGGAAAGGAATTCACTTCATATCGTGAAAACAAAGCCTGTCTTGTGTGTGACAGTGGCCCACCATAAGTGAGTAAGAAGAACAGAAGAACAAAGAGCGAGTGACTCTTCCCTGGCACAGCTTTGCATTGTCCTGCTGCCAACAGCTCAGGGACTTGAGATTTTCCTACAGGTTTGGTAATTCCAAGCAGAAAATCTGTTTCTCATTTTGGGAAGAAGCAACCCCAAGGACCTGGTGTGTCAGTGAGTGACAAGAAGCAAGAGCCTGGGCGCTTTTAGAAAGCTTGGAGAGTGTCCAAGTCCACACTGAAAAATGATAAGTCACCACTAAAGCATGTCAAGACTTTTTCAGACTTGCTGATCAGGATAAGACACTCTGCTTTGTGTTTTTCATTTTCTTAGGTATATGTGTGGCTGCCCCTTTGGAGATCCAAGTTGTGAAGGACATTTTCCTGAGCATTTACGTCCCTTATTCCGTGGTCCGAGGGGAACAAATTGAGTTGAGAGGATCAGTTTATAACCATAAAGACTCTGAAATTCAGGTAATTTGTGTTCAGGAGTTCCAGGGGAAAGATTACCACAGTAAACTAAAAAAAAAAAAAAAGGCATTTCCCCTGCCAGGATCCAGCATAAACAGATCCTTGGATCAGGCTTCTGTCTCCAGTCTTTAAGCTGGTGTTGTGTGTAGTGCAAAGAGAAATACAATTGCAGTAATTAATAATATTTCAATGGCTTTATTATACCTCTGTCTGGGAGGTGAGACATGAACATCTCCCCCCGTTGCAGTTCTGTGTTGCAATAGCAGCTGGAAGTGGAATCTGCACCTTTGGAGACTCCGGGGCGAGGCCGAGGAGCTGCAGGTACAGGAGTTTGGCCGCTGGCTCCTCAGCCCCGCTGGCATTCCGGATCCTGCCCTTGGAATTGGGGCTCCACACCATCAACTTCACCCTGCTGAGCCCCAGGAACAGCGAGATCCTGGTGAAAACCCTGCGGGTCGTGGTAAGGAAGAAGCAGCCGAGTGCTCGTGGGGGTCCAGTCAGTCACCAAGAACAGAAATTCAATCAATATTTAAATCCTGCTTGATTTTCAGGCTGCCAGAACCCAAAATAGCACGTGGTGTCCTTGCATTCACTGAGGGGCGTGCAGTGGGAAAATGCCTGACTGAATATTGGAGCATTTTTAAACCTTGATTATCAGAATTGTCAGGGAGATTATATGTATAAATAGATATATTATAACCCTGTAAGCAAGGAGAATACTTCGTTCTAGGTTATTTGGTTTCCATTTTCCACTGGTTAACAATGCTTCACTGATTGACTCTTTTTGGGGGTGATTTTTCACTTTCCTAAGCTTTTATTTAAATATTTTCTTACATTTTCTCAAGACTCGTGGGAGATAGAACTGATCTAAACTCACGTGGAGCAGCTGTAGAAGTAAAACTCAACAGTGAATAAAACTCAACTGCAGGAAAAGTTGTAGAAGGCACAAATACTGTGGGTTTAGGCCATTGTTTCACCTGATATATCTAATTAAACAAAAATGTTTCCTTTTCCCATTTCTTTCCTCGTGATGATTCCAGCCAGAGGGCATCAAGAAGGAGCTTCATGCAGGTTTCACTTTGGATCCCCAGGGTGTTTATGGTGAGAATTGCTCATGTTGTCCTTGCATTATTTTTTCCTATCCTTGATTTGGGGTGATTTTCCATCATGGGAAAAAACTGGAATTTCTCCTTCCTGACACACTGTACATATGTCCTTTCCTGTCCTTTCATTGACTTCAAATCCATCTCAAATAGCAAATATGCTTGGATTGATTTCTTAAAGGAAGCTTTTTATGTATCTTTTAGTGTGATGTGACACCAGCTTTCCTCAGGGTGCTTGAGAACCAACCAGCAGGTGCCTTATTCATGAAAACAGAGCATGTCCTCATTTAACCACAGCAACCACAGAGTTTAAGTCTAGATCAAACTTTATCCTGTAACAAAAAAAAAGGGCAAAAGCAACATAAAGGGTTTGCACCTGCTCTTTTTTCGGAGATTAATGTTGTTTGCACGTGCCTTTGGGAGCATTTCTAGTTTCCAAGCTCTCACAGGTATTTCTGTTGCTGGCCTTAAATCTGTTGTCACCTTCAATCTGGCTGTTGCAGCTGAACTAAATCTGTTGATTTAGACTGTGCAGTGTGATATATATATATATATATATATATATATATATATTTACACATTTTCAATGACAGGTTCGATCAAGAGACGACAGGAATTTCGATACAAAGTCCCCCCGAATCTGGTCCCTAAAACAGAGCTCGATAGAAGCGTCAGCGTGAAAGGTAAATTGAAACTTTCAGTGCTCTGCAGACGTACTTTCTAACATCTGTTCCTCCTGGATTGCATTAAATTTATCTGATTTGGGGCTGGGTTCTTCCTCCTGGGAGAACAGGCCACCTTTTCTGTGCAGGAATTGAAGTTCTCCACACAGCCAAGCACAGCTTGGGGTTCTCTCTCCCCATCCCTGATGTCAACACATTTTGGGTTGGTTCTCCCCACAGGCCACCTGCTGGGTGAGGTGATCGCCACAGTGCTCAGTGCCAGTGGGCTCAGGATGCTGACTGAGCTGCCCAGGGGCAGTGCAGAGGCCGAGTTCATGAGCTTTGCCCCCGTGTTTTACGTCTTTCGCTACCTGGAGGAGTCGGACAACTGGCATTTACTGGGCCCCGAAACCTTTACTGCCAAAACTCAGATGATGAGGAAGATGAAAGAAGGTAGGGGAAAAAAAACCCTGCCTCCCTTGCTTCAGAGCCGGGGAGGTGCACAAGTGAGGCAGGAAGATGATGCATGTGAGGGAGCAGATGTCATTCTCGTGGATGTTTTGTGCCCCATCCACCCCCTCAGGGATTGTGAGCATCCTGTCGTTCCGGAACGCCGACCGCTCCTACAGCATGTGGAAGAACGGGCAGGCCAGCACCTGGTGAGTCAGGAGGGCTTCTATGGGTGGAATTAATTCAAAAGGCATTCATATTTCTGGTAAGCACAAAAGGTGAGTGTGTGTCCATGGTTCACACCATGACCCAGCTGGGGTTGGGATGGAATGAGTCCATCCCCTGACACCTGGGAATTGAGCCCAGTTTCACATGATTTCACTAACTATTGCCCTTTTGTGAAGCTGAATTTGAAATTCACCTCCAGTAATCCTTTGAAGTGTGGGAGTGTGTGGGACCCCCAGGTGGTAAACAGTGCAGATTTGTGTCTGCCCCCAGCGGTGTGGGAGCACCTGCTGACCCTAAACCAACGTGTTTGGTTTCCCTGGCAGGCTGACAGCTTTTGCTTTAAGGATTCTTGGACAAATGTATCAATATGTCAAACTTGACCAGCTTTCTCTCTGTGATTCCCTGCTGTGGCTGATTGATGACTGTCAGATGCCAGACGGGTCGTTCAGTGAATTTTCCAGCTACGAACCAGTGAAACTCCAGGTAGGAAAACCCAAACATTCTCTGTGCTCAGTCAGTGAAAGCTGAAGTCACCAGGGGATAAAGAGTTTTAGCAATGCAAGAGATTTTAGGCTGCACTTCACCAAAACACCCATTCGAGACAATTTTGGCTGATTTGCCTTTTCCTAAATTCATTTCAGAAGCACCACAGTTTTGCAAACCTTTCTGTCTTCCCACTTAAAGCAGCTTCTTGCCACTTCTTAATATTTATAAAAGAGTTATGTAGGATGATTTTACAACATAACAGTCCTGGCTTGTCAATAAATTTATATATTTTGGTCTCCTTTTTCTACAAATAAGCTGTTACCTTCCAATGTATTTTCAGGTTAAACTAAACTTCCTACAGGAATTTCTATTTGTTTCCTCACCTAAACTGAAAAGTTCTACCTATTTAATAATTTTTTTATTTAATTATTTTCCTTTGATTCTTGTAGGGCACATTACCCAGAGAAGCTAAAGAAAAATCTCTGTATCTCACAGCATTTTCTATTATTGGAATCGACAAGGCAATTAAAATATGTCCTACTGAGGTAAATAAGATCTTTATTTCTGCCAGTGGGTTCTAATTTCTTCCATTTTCTTTAACATTCATTCAAAGAAATCAAGAGACTTCGTTCAGTCTCAAATAATCCTGATTTGTTGTGTTTGTCTTTCAAAAGCAGTGAAAGAACAAACCAGGGATTTCTGGGTCGGTTCATCACAAGATACGTTGCAGAAAACGTTACATATCTGTATTTTCTTGCTAGGGGAGATGCGTTTCTTTAACTCTGACAGATGTGAGCTGTAACTTATTCACATTTACAGAAAATCCACAATGCCAAGAGCAAGGCAGGAGGTTATTTGATGGACAATGTGCAGTTTGCTCAGAGCCCCTTCACCATGGCCATCACCTCCTACGCCCTGGCTCTCGTGGACCCCGACAGCCACTCGGCACGGGTGGCCTTCTCAAACCTCAAGAGGGAAGCTTTTGTCATAGGTATTGCTCAGTCCTCTCAGTCCCTGCTGCTTTCTGCTCTCACACACCTGTCTCCTTTCAGTGGTTTTTAACTCTCTGATGTGATGGCACTGCTTGGACAGTGAGTTTTGGGGGGTGCCTGCTTTGTTTGGCTGCTCCATCGCTGTTCACGGCCAGCAAATCCCATCAGCTGCTTTCCCATCAGCTCTGTCTGCCATCACTGCCCAGCCTAAACATCAGACTCCCTGGTGCAAGGGAAGTGTATCCTCATCTCCTGGGAGATGCAGAGCGAGCTGCTCCTCCTTGTCCCCTTGTCCTGAGTGGGCAATACCCACCTTGTCTTTCCAACACTTGCCCTTTGAACATTTCCATTTGGAACGTTTCCATTTGGAACGTTTCCATTTGGAACACTTCTGCATTTTGAACACTTTTCTCAGCAGTGTTTCCTACTGAGAGTAAAACTGTAATAAATCCTTCCACTTGCTAAGTGCAAGACTGGAAAAGAAATTGGTAAAAGCCTTCCCAGCCCTGTTTGGAACTGTTGGCTTTTTTATGCACAGGATTAATTTATGATGTATTTTTAGTCATTTACACCTTGTGTATCCTGCAGAGCTGTTGCTGTGTTTCAATCTGGACCCTTCCTTTTCTCCCTGTGCAGGTGACCCTCCCATCTACAGGTTTTGGAAAGACACTTTCAAGGCAGATGATGAACAAACTCCCAGCTCTTTCACTGCCCAGATGGTTGAAACCACAGCCTATGCTCTGCTCACCACTGTGCTGAGAGGGGATGAGAGCTATGCCAAGCCAATCATCAAATGGCTCTCTGAGGAACAAAGACATGGGGGAGGGTTTTTTTCAACTCAGGTGAGCTTTGAAATGTTTCCAGTTATTCTTCAAGTGCCAAAATCTGAGATGTTTTGACCCAAACCTGGAAGTGCCCAAGTTCAGGTTGGATGGGGCTCTGAGCAACCTGGGCTGGTGGAAGGTATCCCAATAAGCTTTAAAGTCCCTTCCAACCTAAACCACTCTGGCATTCCATCATTTTGTGATATAAATATTTTTTAAGGATAATATAAATAAATTATCACAGTGTCCTTTGTATTAAGTGACCCCGTGGCCAAGATGTTCTTTTTCCCTGGCAAACAGGACTTCTTGGCATGGGGTTGTTGCATGTAGATATTTTATAAACAGAATTTAATTCATATGCATTTTATAAATAGGACTTAATAGGAGTTAATTCTTTATAACTGATTTCTGACAGGACACAATCAATGCCCTTGAGGCCCTGACTGAATATTCCCTCCTTGTCAAACGGCTCCACTTGGACATGGATGTGAAAGTGTCCTACAAAACCGGTAGAATCCTGAGCATCTTCAAACTGACAGAAGATCATTTCGTGGGAAGAGCTATCTCAGTGAGTGAATCATATTGTTTTTAAAGGCAGAGCACAGTTCTCAGCAACCTGTTAAATAATTATTGGAAATTTGAAATTGTTCCTGAAGTAGCTTTTTCTTGTAATAAACTGTCATTAATTTGGTATAGGAAATGTTTAAGGACTTGTTTATCTGCTCTATTTAATATTCTTTTAAAATTAACATCTCTTCTTGCTCCTATAAAGTTGGACAGATTATGTTTGTAGCATCAGACCTTATTATGTATTTGAAGTGCAAACAAGACAAGCAGCTCACCTGACCTGAACTGTCGCTGATTGTTGCTAATCTGAATGATCAGTTTATAACTCGTTATTGCTCCTCAATCCTTTAGGCACCTTTGCATGATGACATCTACGTGAGCACTGGCATCAGCACTGGCATAGCTACAGTAAATGTAAGCAGGTTTTTCAATGGAATTTCTGCTTCAGTAACATTAACAAGGAAAAAGAAACTGTAATTTCCCCTGAACTGTCCCCACTGGTGCCCTGAGGGGATAGATGTTTTTGTGGCTCTGGGTTGGATCAGCTCCCAGCCAGTGTTTGACTTGTGGCTACTGGCAGAGAAGTTGGGAAGTTTCTTCCTTTCCACTGCAGGTTTTCTGTTCCATAAATCTTCTGTGAATCCTTAAGGCTGGGAAAAAAAAAAAAAAACACCTTTAAGACCACCAAGTCCACACTAAATAGATGATCAACTTAATTTTAGTGCTCATCAATTTTACTGTCTCTGCTTAATCAGCCAAACAGGGAAGACCCAAATCAGTGATCAGCGTTGAGAATTAATTCTCTATTAAGCAATGGAAACGTTGTTTTATTGTAATATTTAGAGGATGTTTCTTGTACCTGTGCAGGTGAGGACAGTGTACAACACAATGGGCACTTCTGAAGACCACTGCAACTTCGACCTGAAGATTGCTCCAAAGAGAGATCATGGTAAAGGCTTAATATAATTTTAAATGTCACCACCCAGGTCAGTGCAAGGGAGGGATAAAATCCTCGCTTTTTTCTTTTAGCAGCGTTTCTTATTAAGAATGACATAAATTCTGCCACTTTCTGCATGCAAAACACGAGAAGAAATTGCTAAAAGCCTTTTTAGCCCTGTTTGAAACTATTACCTTTGTGTGAATAGAATGAATATTTAGTGTCTCTCTGTCAGGTGCATTTTTAGTCATTTATTGGAAGAGTTTTAGTCATTTATTGGAAGAGGGGGAGTGAGAAGACAGAAATGGGATGGGAGTGGAAGGGGGTGACAGTTCTAGTCCAGTTAGATCAGGGTATAGAATCACACTCTGAGCTTTTGCCACCAAGTATTTTCAATAACATAAATACACAATAAACCACATTAAACCTTGAAACTGTGATTTCCCCTGAATGGCAAAGGCAGTGAATGCTACTCCTTTGTGCCTAACCAAGGAGCTCCTTTAAAAACAGCCCCCCAAACAACTTAAGGAATTATCTGTCAGTTGTGAACATGCTTTGTTGGAAATTTTGGGCCGCCGAGGAGCTGTGAAATGACTGATTTGACTCTGCTTGGTATGAACAGATTATTTAAGAGAAGAAGAGGAGCCACAGTGGCACCTGGAGGCTTGTGCAAAGTGAGTGCAGCTCGTGGGTTGGTTTGTCAATAATTGCACCTGCTCCTCTGAGCTTTTCTTTCTGTTTCTGCCCTTTTTCACTGTGTGTGTGTTAAAACAGAATTAGAGCCAAAGGTTGGGATTTCCTTGGGATCTCTGCCTCCAGTTTATTTGTGGGCTCTCCTGGAACGTGAGGATGAGGAAAAGCTGCTTGGTGGCACAAATCTGAAATGCTGCATCATGAGCTTACTGCGCTCTAAATGTTGACAGAACTTTCCTTAGGTTTTTCTGGGATCACCTTCAAGTATTTTTAGTTTCAGTCATGGTTAACTAATACTGGGTTTAAATTATTTTCTTTTTAATCTGCTTTAGGTACAGGCCCAGTGCGAGGGAGCCCCGCTCGGGGTCTGCTCACACCGTGATGGACATCGGGCTGGTCAGTGGAGTGGAAGCAAATTCAGAGGATTTATCCACTGCAAGTATCAGAGAACCTTTTTGTCTCCTCCTGACTCTTCCTGACAGAGCTCTGACATCCACTGTTCATCTTTTCCTGTCCCCTCCAGCTCGCGAGTGGCGTTGACCAGCTGATAGCAGATTATGAGATAAAGGACGGGCACGTTATCCTGCAGATTGACTCTGTATGTCCCCCTGTGCCTGACTCAGCCCTGCTCTTGCTCCCTGCAATGCTTTTTGGTGCCTTTAGAGCTGCCTAATCGCTGTGCCTGTCACACAGGTGCCAGCTGACAGGTTCCTGTGCGTGGGGTTCCGGCTCAGCGAGCTGTTCCGGGTGGGAATGCGGAACCCTGGCACCTTCACCGTGTATGAGTACCACGCACCAGGTCTGTGCTCCCTGCCCTCACACCCCTCTTTGCCCTCTCACTCTCCATTCCCCCTGGAAGGCAGCATTTTCCCTTCTTTCCCTGCTGTCTAGCCCATGTTATTTTAAATCCAGTCACCTCTGGACTCGAAGTGCCAGTGTTGGTTTTCTGTGTGTGTTCATTATTTCCTCTAGATAAAAGGTGCACTGTGTTTTACAACCCCTATGGAGATGAAAAGCTGGTGAGATTGTGTGAAGGAGATGAATGCAAATGCATGGAAGGTAAACTCGTTTTAAGATGTTTCTCCGTGTCAGTTGGTGGGAAAATGCAGGGAACAAAACCACACTAAACATCAGGGGGAAATCCTCATAAGAGCACAGCTGGTTCCTCTCCAAATTGTACCCTGAAAAGTAATTTAAAAAAAAAACAACTCCAAATGTGCAGTGTGTGATCATGGAAGTCTGAGTGGATTGAGTCAGGTGATCAAGGGTGTTGGTTTGTATTTTAAATATTCCCAGTTCCAGCATGCCATCCCATATTCTGGTGTTATCAGCTAGAACAATTATCCCAATTACAGGTGGAGGTCCATGATGTTTTACTCACTTATTTATTATGATGTATTTATTGTGATAACATTCTCTTAGCACTGACTTCTCCTTTCTCAACGTAGCTGAGTGTGGTAAAGTCCAAAGGAGACTTGATGAGTCCATAACTGCCGAGAGCAGGAGAGAAGCCGCCTGTCAGAGGGACATTGCTTATGGTAACACCTGGCACGAGCCATTTCACCTGCTCTGAAACATCTGCTTGCTCACCAGGGCTGAAAAACACTCTGATCTGGAGTGATTAAAAACTCACTGGGGTTTACAGTGGCGTGGGGTGAGGGCAGGTGACAAACTGGAGCAGAGAAGGGCAAGTGGGGTCAGGGCACCAGGGAGCCTGATCTGATGAGTTCTGCTAATAAACACTGAGTTTTGCTTATAAATACTGAGTTCTGCTACCAAACACTCAGTTCTGCTACCAAACACTCAGTTTTCTCTTGCTTGGTAACCATCTGTGTGGCTCTGGGGCCAGAGGAAGTTGGGGGGTGGCAGATGAGAGCACGGGTGGAGCTCCCATCAGATCAGACACGGGTGGAGCTTGTCAGTGTTCCCTGGAACAATTCACAGCTACCCTGCATTCCCAGGGATTGGTGTTGCAGAGGGACATCGAATTGTCCCCCTGAGCAGCTGTTCAGGATGGATGTGGCAGGAACAAGCAGTAACCAAAAGCTTTGTGTTGTTCTGCAGTTTACAAAGTGAATATCCTGTCTCGCAGCGAGGAAGGGGCTTTTGTCAAATATTCTGCAGCTCTTCTGGATCTCTTCAAAAGAGGTGAGTCCTGCTCTGTTTGGGGGAGAAAAGGGTTTTGGGATGGTTTTAGGCACTCCCTGTGGCAAAGGCAGATGTTGCAGGGCCTGCAGAGCTGAGGATGATCTTCCCTCATTTTCCCTCTGGGTTTAGGCAGCCAGTGTGTCCTTAAAATGACTGTAACATAAAAATATTTAATGTGCACAAGGTTTATTTGCCATTCAGATTTAATTGTAAAAACTTTCACAAGAAACATGTTTTATGCCATCAAATTTTGCTGTTCCAGAACAGCACAGAGATCCCCTGGCTGTGCTGGCCTGCAGAACAATTTAGTGTTTTCTGCCTGAGTGACTGGAAATTCCCTCTGTGCAATTGTCCAACTCTTCTCATTCCACCTCAGGGCAGGCTTTTGCTCGAAAAAATGACAAAATAACCTTTGTTAAGAAGAAGAGCTGTGCAGATGTGGAACTGAGCCCAGGAGAGCAGTACCTGATCATGGGGAAAGAGGCCTTGAGGATCAGCATTGGTTACAGTTTCAAGTAAGTCATTTGCCACCAGAATATGCAGAGATTTAATCTTACAGTGAGAAGGGTTTGCATGGGATAATTGTTGGGTAATTTAGAATTGATTTACTTTTTACAGTATTTATTTCCACCAGCAGTTACACTGTGGGTTGGACACGATTTCACATCGGGATTTTTAATTTTATCTTTGACATTTGCCTTCCCAAATCTCAGCAGTAAATGATCCTTTCCTGTTGTTTTCCCAGATTCCAGTACCCTTTGGACTCCAGCACTTGGATTGAGTGGTGGCCTTCAACTCCAGACTGTGACTTGTGTGGGGAGTTCCTACAGACAATGAACGATTTTACTGATGATCTCATGATCAGTGGCTGCTGATTTACTTGGAGAGCTTTTAAATTAAAAATCCAGATCAAATCTCATGTAAAAAAAAAAAAAACAAAACCCTCACCTGTTTAGCAATTCTTCCTTGAACTGAACATTCCAGAATAGTTCCCTTGAAAAATGAGCTTTGCTTGTGTTTTATAGCAATGTTGTTACATTGTGGTGCTCAGAGAGAACTTTTCAGCTTGGCTGGGAGAATAACACGGAATGCTGCAAAGAAACCTGGAGTCAGATGGAGTGGATGGACTGTAAAAACACACATGGAAAGTTCTGTCTTGTCACTGAACCCCATATCTTATTAAAACATAAATATTTGCAGCCACTTTGTAAGCTCTTTGTGAAGGAAATTACTTTATTCCTAATTTTTTTCTTTTGTGCTCTGTTTGAATTCCTGCATTTCCATCCCTGACGTTATTCTTGTGCTCTGCTTTCTTGTTTAAAAAAACAAAACAAAACAAACCAACAAACAAACCCAAAGTTCTCAGCTCTCAGGTAGTACATTTGTTATTTGTATTTTCAGGCAGTAACTCAGATAAAATAAATGTTCCCCTGGCATTTGACGGCAGGTTAAAACATCCTGCTTTGCCTGCAGGAAAGTGGCAGATGAAGGGCCAAATTCCCTGCTCCTGGCACAGCCCAGGCTGGCTCCCAGGAAATACAAAGCACATTTACACATGGTGTTATTTTTTACTGAAGAGCTGCCCAAAAGCAGCAGGGCCAAGAACTTTCAAATCACTGTTTTCCCTCTCTCTTAGGAATATCCTTGATCCAGAGCACTTATGATGTGGAAAGAAGATAATCAGGGATGATGCAATGTTAAATTTTGGCTCTGTGAGTACTTCCCTTTTTTTTTTTTTTTTTTAATCCTACAAACGTTTCTAAGAAGCACAAAAAGATCCTCCTGTATCCAATAATTCCTGGATATAAATTCAAATTGCAGGGAGAAACACATGGAAAGGCTCAGGGAGGTTGTCCAGGCAGCTGACCCGGAAACATTTCTACTTCTGGAGGGGTCACTGTGTATTAGCAGACCTAATAATCTCTTTAAATGACAAGGAGCCTGCCCTGTTTTCACAGGTGACATTGAAGTTCTGTTGGTTTTCACTGAGCCAGGCTACAAAGAGGCTGCATCCCTCTCTGAGAGCTGCCACTTTCCATCCATCCTGATTGGTCTGACTTGACCCCACAGGGGTTTATTTTCAGCCTGTGGGGGATGTCTCCCTGCAAAATGTGTTCCCAATCTCCTGCTGAATTCCTACAGCAGGACCCCCAGAGTTCTGGCAGGGCCCTCAGTTGTTTTCCAGTAAAACCCCCACCTTAGAGGAGTTCCATCTGCTTCCAATTTTGGAGATATTTAATAATGTTTTCATCCCTAATTAGAAGAAATATCTGGCTCTCCAAGGGTTTGGTTTTTCCAGTTCCTGCACCGTGACAGAATTCCAGCCCTTTTGCTTTTCAAGTCCTGAATGAACTCGGAATTTTGGGTACATGTTGAAGCAGCAACTGATTTCCTGGAAAACACTGAGCTGAATTCAACACCACAACTGTCATACAAAGAACACTGAGGTTCAGAAAACAATAGCAGAGAAATCCTGAGTAAAGCTTGGTGCATTGAACCCTTTCTTTCCTACCCCAGGAAACTGTTGTTGCACACAGGGGGTTGTTTATAAAATGCATTTACCCACACTCAGAGCTGGAAGTCACGACATGCAGATTATCCCTGAGGTGCTGTGGTTCAGGCCACAGTTCCTTTGTTTATTTGCTACTTGACAACCGAAACTGCCATTTCTTTTACGAGTGAAGTAAACAAAAAAAGATATATTGGAATCAGCTGAGGTATCAGATTCCCCTTGCACTGGGCCAGTTTGCACCTGCTGAAAGGTGATTTAGAGACAGAAATTCTACTGTTGGGGCCAGACTGGGCATAAATGGGATTTAAATTGTTCATTCACTCCATGGCTGAGTTCTCTGTCTCTGCCAGGTTTCCTTCCTTATTTATAAAAGCAAAATGCCATTAAAAAAAAGTCATTTTCACTGCCTAAATCATAAAATTTTCCATAAAACCCTTCTGCTGGAAGGTCCTAGAGAATATCCATGCCCAGGCTCTTGGTACAAATACATCTCCATTTGTGTCATTCCAAAAGTTTGGAGTCACCAATCTTTTTTTTTTTTTCTTCCTAAGCTTCTGTTTTGGTCAGGGATCCCGAACCCAAGATAGGATCAAAAGCCTCCTTTGGGACCTGCAGTGTCCCCTGGGTGCAGGTACAAACAGACCTTGCAAGGGGGGAGGGTGGAAATCAGTCAGGATTATGAATCATGCTGGAAAATGCTCTTGGAAAGCTGAGCCTGCTGCTATATTACTCATCCCCCAACAGCCGAGTGAATTGTGGTCTCAGGGAGCTGGAATGCAGTGCACACAGTCTCCTCCTGCTTCTGTCACGTGCAAAACAACACCCAACATCTCTTTTTTTTATCTCTATTATTAGCAAAATCAGCAAACTCTGAAATGGGTTAATGGAGATTTACCAGGACCTTCCCCCTCTCCTCCCAGTTCTTGTCATTAGTGAGAATTAATGAAGGCATTAATAAGGAGACCTGATGCTTCCTTTTCTCCCTAATCAATCCCAGTCAATCCCACCGAGTTTTCTGATCGCTGTTTCACCCCCACTGTGCAGGTGGCCTGAGCTGCCAATGGAATATCCATATTTTTTTTTTTTCCCAGCTGGTTTAGACTCAAAAAGACACTGGACCTGAACTTGTTTTTTCATGTCACATGCAGGGCTCTGGAGGAGAGTTTTGGCAGCTTTCCCCTGGGCACCGAGCCTGTTCCCAGAGTTCATTAAGAATGGAAATAAGCAGCAAAGAATTTTCCAGTTCAGCTCAGGCCCTGTGCACGTTCAGAGCAACAGAAACACAACCACGAGTGGAGCATCAACCCTTGGCGTGCCCAGAGCCTCAACTGGGCAAACTGGCACCAACTGGGCCATGCTGGGCTCACCCCTTGGCGTGGGGGGGAGTGACTGAGACAGGAGCCCACCAGGAAGCTTCTTAATGTGAAAAAGGAGTGCTTGGCTGCCCAAAAATCAGAGGCAGGCTCAGAAACCTCCTCCTGATTTACTCTGAAATCCTTTCTGCTGGTAGGAAACCCTCCAGGCCACTGTGACACACAGAAACACTTCATTTTCTCTCTCCCCTTCGAGGGGGGGATTCCTTGGCTTGTCTTGTGGAAAGTGCTTTAGTGAGGGACTGAAATGAGAGATTAGGTAGATAGATAGACAGACAGACAAACTGTCAATTTTTGGGTGCTTTTTCCCTGACAAATGCTGCAGAAGTGTTCCAGAGCATCTATTCTTTAAAGGAGGGGGAAAAAAAAAATCCCTAGGAAGCTGAGGATAATATTATCTTGCAGAGAATATGATCTGGAAAAAATCCTGAGGCAGAGCAGGGCTGAGGAAAACCAAATTGATTCCTGATGTCTCTTGGAGGATTTCGGTCCAACTCTCCTGAAACTTAGTGGGAAATTTTGCTTCTCTTTAATGCAGGCTGCTCCTCAGGGCATCCCCACAACAAAGCAGTTACAACTGGGGGTAGACACTGGCAGAGAGGATTAAAACCTGTAAAAAAGGTTTTATTCTAGGCCAGAGATTGAATTGTGGCAAAGCTGTGGAGTTTGCTGAGGATGGGAGTACATCAAATGTAATGATTCTTCCTTTTTTGGATCGTGGGTTGATGAAATCCCAGACACTCTGCTGCTCTCCTATTTCATGGGTAGTTTTACTTCTGGCGCTGGAGCTGCTTGGAAAGTGAGTTTTCCTTCCTGTGCTTTACCAGTTTTTCAGGGTTTCCTAGGACAGGTGCACATTCCCAGGTCATTTATACTAACTGAAAATTCTGTTTTCACAGAACGAGACACCTCTGTCTCAAGCATCTCTCTGGAATGCAGCTATCAGCCCTGAAAATACTCTTTACACTTTGATTACCACCTTTGGAACATCTGAGCCGAAATTCCTTTGGAAATGCCCTGTGAAATCTGTCACATTAAAAATCTCGAGCCCTTTGCTTCTTTTTAAAAGGTAAGATTAAATCGATTGATCCACTCCCCTATGAGCTTTTTTTTTTCCTTGGATAGAAAAAGGATCATTCACCTGAAATAGTAACACAGGGCCCTGCACTGCTGAGCACTGGGGGAGTGGCTCTACATTTTAATCTCTCTCGGAGCCACATCCTGTTTTCAGTTAACTGATCTCATCGAGGGGAAATCTAACAGAGGAAACCTCTCTAGCCTGGAAAGTACCAAACCTTGTCTTGGGTTCCTGTGTGTAATTCAGCACCTCTGAAGGCAGAGGTGTCACAGCATCACAGAGACTGCTGAGAAGTCTCAGAGCGAGAGAAAAGGGGCGAACTGAGAGCCCAGAGAGCTGCCCCTTCATCCCCAAACAGAACCTGATCTTCCTAAAATTAACACCTCACACCCCTTTATAGCCCCGAGGCTGAAAAAGCCACGTCCAGAAATCTTAGTAGAACCCTGTCAGAAGAGAACTCACTCACATCCTGGCAGGAACTGCCTGGCCCACAGGAATTTACCAGGAATTTGAACCACCCTGATGAAAGCCAGTGGTTCAGGCCCTGGGGACTGACTGAGCCAGCTGTGTCACACTTCTCTTCCAGGCTGCAGGTGACACAGGGCCCTGGGGACTCTGCACTGCAGATCCACCTCTGGATCTACAAATAAGTTTACAGCACAGAGAAGCAGAGAGAAGGAGGTGGAAATGAAGAGTCTGTCTGAGCACACACAGCACAGGAAGGTGTCAGACTCCAAGCAAACACTCACTGATGTCCAACAGCCTCTCGCACAGTCACAGGTACTGGAGGTGCTCTCTGCTGCCAGTGCAGCCGAGTGGAGGCCCTAGAGAGCCACCTCTGCTTTGGATTTTTAATTTTCAGCAAGAACCCACCCTCAGGGATATTCCCCAAGTCTCCTTCACAAGGAAAAGCGAACAGATTTGCATCTGCCACTGCTTTTCTGACTGATTCCTGGGTCACAACTTTAGATAAGGTGACAGCAAAGTGAGATTCCTCAGGGGAGAGGAGCACCTGCTGAGAGTGAAACCTTCCTTTGTAGAATCTTTAATGCACTCTTAGAAGGATTTGCATTTATTACTGAACTCCCCGGAGTTATCCTGTCACTCATAGCCCTGAATGAGTTACACACGGTCTGCGTTGAAGGGGGAGGCACAGCGGGGTTGCAGGGGGGAGGTTTCCCGTAGGTCCCAAAGAGTCCCGTATTTGGGGCAGGGGCTCCCCCGAGCAGCCAGGGGGGCTGTGCGGGGATATTTTGGGCTGTGACCACACTCTGGGCAGGCAGGACTTTCTGCCCGAGTCACCATGTCAGACAGCACATCACCCCGCTCTCAGGAACCAGCCGCCAGCTTCTCCCTTTCGGCTGTCCCGGGGGAATTTACTCCCGGGGGCATTTCCTCGGCCACTTCCCCGTCCCCGCGGGGCCGGGACTGCGGCGGTGCCCGGAGCGGGGGAAGCCCTGCGGGTGCGGTTCGTGCTCCCCGCTCCTCCCGGCCGGGGCGAGGCAGCAGCGCCGGGATCAGACCGAGCGGTGCCCGCGGGGAGCGCCGGGCCCAGGTACGGGGAGCGCCGGGGAGCGGGGAGGGATGCGGGGCGGAGGGAGGGATGCGGGGCGGAGGGAGGGAAGGATGGAAGGATGAAGGGATGGAACCCACAACCCCCCTCCTCCCGCCGCGGGGACCAGCCCGCTCCCCCTCCCCCGGCCACGCGGGCCCGGCCACGCAGAGCGCCCCGGGGGCTGCGCGGGGGTCCTCTGCGGTCCTCTGCGGCCCCTCTGCGGCCCCACCAGGGCTCTGTCCCGGCTCTCAGGGCTGTGTCCCGGCTCTCAGGGCTGTGTCCCGGCTCTCAGGGCTGTGTCCCAGCGGCTTCTGCAGCTCCGGCGTTCGCTGCAGAGCTCCCCGTCAAACGCCTGCAGAGGCCGTGGGGATGGGCTAAGCCAGGCCTTGGAAAACGCTGGCTGTTCCCAGCGGCCCCAGGCAGGCTCGAGTCATTTTTATTTTTTTTCAGGTTTATTAGTCAGTGTGGCTTCTGGTAATACTGAGATAGGTTATGGTTTTTCACAGGAAAAAAAAGATAGCTTTGTCAAGTGTCCCCGAGCGAAAATCTTCCTTGAACTTTCCAAGAGACACCAGAATCCCTTTTGGCTGCATTTACAAAAATATCCCAGTGCCCAGCTCTTGTTACCCAAAGCAAACTGGAGGTGCAGGACACCCTGGCACGTGTGGGCTCCAGGGGTACCCGGGGAGAACTCAACTGTTAAGGATTTCTGGGCTTGGGATTTCCTTTGTCATTTCACCAGTAGTTTTACAACTTCAGGAGAATCACTGTCGACACTCCAGTTGCTCAGTTTCTGTATCAATGAAGGGAAATCACAAATTTTGGCTGCTGGGAAGTGAATGCGATTGGGGATTTACTCTGCGGGAAACAACTCGGTGCGACGGGGACCGGTGGGATTGTGGCTCATCTCCCTACAAGCTAAAAACCTCTGGAAAGAAAACCCCCCCCAACCCCTCATTTTAATACACTGCCCATTTTCACGTCGTGCTGGAGGGAAATTTTAGATGTGTGCAGTAATTCCCCGCTGGTACCCGCTCAAACCCCCCCTGTGACATTTAGTCAGAGCCACTCACGCACACCACTGTCACCGCTCTGGGCTGGAGCTGCTCGGGGGCTTTGATGCCTGATACATCCTCTCACATCAAAGTGAGGATGTGTCCTGTCTGAGCACCTGCTTTTTTAACTGGCGATATTCCCCCAGCCCAGATGGCTGAGCACACCAGCAGGGGCCTGCAGGACGTGCTGGGCTCTTCTCCTGATGAAAATGAGCTTCCTGTTGGATACCCCACCAGCATCTGCCAGGATGTGCCTGGCCAGAAGTACCTGTGCAGCAACTGCAACAACATCCTGAAGAAGGCCCTGCAGACGCTGTGTGGGCATAGGTACTGCTCTGCCTGCCTCGCCTGGATCCTGAGGTACGTCCCTGGCCATGGCATTCCATGGATCCCAGAGCTCCCAGAGCTGCACTGAGCTCAGGGATGAGCTCCAGGAGCTCCCAGAGCTGGCACTGAGCTCAGGGATGAGCTCCAGGATCTCCCCAGAGCTGGCACTGAGCTCAGGGATGAGCTCCAGGAGCTCCCAGAGCTGGCACTGAGCTCAGGGATGAGCTCCAACAGTGCCCAGAGCAGGGACTGAGCTCAGGGATGAGCTCCAGGAGCTCCCAGAGCAGGGACTGAGCTCAGGGATGAGCTCCAGGATCTCCCAGAGCTGGCACTGAGCTCAGGGATGAGCTCCAACAGCTCCCAGAGCTGGCACTGAGCTCAAGGATGAGCTCCAACAGCGCCCAGAGCTGGCACTGAGCTCAAGGATGAGCTCCAGGAGCTCCCAGAGCTGGCACTGAGCTCAGGGATGAGCTCCAGGATCTCCCCAGAGCTGTCACTGAGCTCAGGGATGAGCTCCAGGAGCTCCCAGAGCTGTCACTGAGCTCAGGGATGAGGCTGTACCAGTTTTTCTATCTGTGACATAATAATTCTTGATTAACTGATTTAACCTCTATTTAAGCCTTCCATGGAACTTCTCAGTCCTTTGATAAGAGTCAGTATTTTAACAGACAGAATGTCTTATTGGTCTTTTTATTTGTCTTGGAAATGTCTGTGTTTTAAAAGACTTCAGTTTTCATGTCGTCTCCCCTACAGGTGGTTCTTGCATAATTCACGAGACAAATAGTTTTCCATCTTTATTCCTGTTTATGATCCAGGGTGCTCTTCTTTCACTGAAACAGAGATAAATTTATGGGCCCAGTCCTGGTCTGGAAGAACAGAGAGCAGAGGTTTTTTATATCAGGGTGTTCAAGAAATGGCCCTCTCCTGAACAAGGACTGTGGATTCTGAGTGGAAATTACAATTTCCCTGGGTTTATTTATGTCAGTGCCTCTACAAAGACCTCCCAAACTACAGTGGATTGTGTTTCACTCTTGTTCCTTTTCACCAGAAACAGCAAAAATGCAATCTGCCAGAAATGTAAGGAGGAAGATCCCGACACTCTGAGTGAGGAAAGCCTGCTGGCAGAAGAAAGGGTGAGTTGTCATTAATTTATCACTAATTTATCATTATTTGGGTTACCCTGGAGCCCTCACTGGACTGCAGTTGAGGAGGGGATAATGTAAAATGTGATGGCAGCTGAGAGTTACACATTTTAACTCAGGTTTTAGTCCTTTGGATTCCCCACCCTTTGTGATTCAGAAAAGTAAGAGCAGCCTCAGGACTTTCCCAGTCCTTGTTCTGCACTGTAAAATCCCACACTCTGCCACAGAGTTAACATTTTATTGCCTCACATTTACTGTGAGCGATGCGCTCTCCGCAGCGCGTTAAGAGGTGTTAATGACCTCGATAATTAACTGCGCTCATTAAGCCACCCCGCAGTCGCGATCCTGTCAGCACATTCGTTGCATGGGATGTTATTTCGGGTTTCTGGGAGAAGGAATGTAAAATAAGAGCTGTGGCGGGCGGGGTGTGTTTAACTTGCTGGGTTACAGAGGTTTATGGCAGTAAAGTTATAAAAATAAAGGGTAATCAAAAGAAATTATTACTTTCTGACCAGTTTGTTTGTTTGTTTGTTTGTTTTTTCCCTTACCCTGTTTATTTTCCAGGCTTTTGGTGATGCTGCCATTAATAAAGAGATCTCTGAACTCAAAGTCCACTGTGTGACCCTTGGGTGCAGCTGGTCTGGTATCATGAAAGATTTTGAAGTATGTTTAAAGACAGTTTATTTAGATTAACATAAAATCTTCTTTAAAAGAGGGGCAGAGAGACAACGAAAGCGGGTTCTCAGCAAACCCAAATTAATGCAGCATCATCAGCATCAGTGACAGCACTGGGATTTATACCAACAAAACATCTAGAAACACATCTTCACCCTCCTTTTCAGACTGATCTGCCCCAGGTAACATCTTTAAATGGGCAAGATTTGGAAATCTGCCATGCAAACTAGAATAGTGAGTACAAGGGGGAAAGCTGGGATCGGTGTTGTGGTATTCTTAGAGGGACAGTTCAATGCAGATCTTGTGTTTGAATTTACCAAAAGCTGTTTGGTTTTGGCTTGGGCTTTTTTTTTTTTTTTTAAATTGAGAACGGACCAAAAAATCCCCAGTAAAGCTGGTGAATTTTTTGCCCAGTAATCATCTCTCAGCTCTGTGCAGTGGGACTTTACCCAAGCTCAGAAGAAATGCAGCTCAGGGCCCTGGGCTGCCAGAACAGGGACTATTTACAGAGAGATGTGAATCAGCATTTTGGTAACCAGCAGTTGCTTTCTAACTTTTGACTTCCAGGAGCATCAGAGCTTGTGTGAATATGCTTTAATCCCTTGTCACACTGGTTGTGGGCACGTGGTGATGAGGAAAAAACTGGCAGATCACTTGGAAAATGGCTGTGTCAATAATGTGACGGTGTGTCAGCAGTGCCAGCGCAGCTTGTCCAGCTCTGAGTACCAAGTAAGGACATTTCTCTCTCAATTTAGGGCTTTACACAGTTATCTTAAATGATCTATCGTGGCATCTTCCCATCCTGATTTCACTGCACTTGGAGGATATTTTAATTTTTCTGAGTTTGCTGATTTTTCCAGCAAAAATGAGCTGGGTGTTGGAGGGAAAAATGAGCTGGATGTGATAATCTGCTTCCCCAAAGAGGGCAGTGCCTGTGTGCTCTCCCAGGGCTGGGGCTGCCAATCTTTTAGATGGAAAGAAAGAAAGAAAGAAAGAAAACCCCGTTTCCTCATTTTCAGTGTCTCAGTGCCAGGATGAGGTAGGGGAGAAGCAGAAGAGCACTGGCTCTTCTGTCAGGGAAGAGATCTTGGAATTTTATTCAAACTAAACCCACCCACAGATTTGTAAAGCAGGACTGTCAGATATCATTTCTGTTGGGTACAGTCAGGTATAACCCCCAAATCATCAGCAGTGTCAATAATAGACCAGGAAGATCACACTTTCAATCTGCCACCAAGTTTCCAGTGAGTAATTACAGCTTTTATCTTATTTGCTCAAAATTGTTCCCTCCAAATTATTTGATGAGAGTAATTAATTGCCAGCCTTGGACTTTTCTCCTGGAATGGGAGCAGGGGGATCCAAGCCCCACCTGGCAGGAGGGCTGGGAATATTCTGCAGGTGTAAATAGCATTGAGCAGCTCTGCGTGTCCAAAAACTGCCCCAAACTGCTGCCTTTCCACAGATTGAGCTCTGAGATTTATTCAGCAAGGGGGTAAAAGCCTTCTGGGGTGGGAATCAGGTGCTCTGCTAAACCTGCTCCTCGGGCAGCTCTTCCATGTGCTCCTCACCCCTCACCAAGTCCTCCAGAGAAAGAGGAACATCTGGATCCAGGCAGATCTTCCCAGAGCTCCATCCAGCGTGTTTTCCAGCTTAAACGCCAGAAGGTGGCAACACTCAATCCCTCTCAGCTCTCTCTGCGAGCTCAAGGCTGGAGGGGGAACCTGAGCCGGGAGTGCTCCCCGAGCTCCTCTCTCCTCTCCCCGAGCACCTCTCTCCTCTCCCCCAGCTCTGACACCGCAGCTCCTCCCCAGCCCCTCCACCTTCCGAGCCCCAGAGCTCTTTTCCTCCCACTCATTCCGCTCCGCCACCACCTCTTGAATTTTTTTTTTTTGGTCAGGAAACCTTGGCAACCGAGCAGGGGGGTTGGTCTGGAGATTGTTGCTTTTTTTTCTCTGCCTCCTTTGGTTGTTTGTAAAATTGGAGCGTTGCTCGTTGCACGCTCTGCTTTATTAACCTCGCGGTGGAGTGGCTGAAGAATTTGGATTATTTGTGTGTATTCCCTGGGCCCTCTGGGAGCAAACAGGAGCTTTGGGGCACTGCTCTCCCTCTCTCCATCTCACACACTCAGCTGTGGCTCTTGTGATTTTCGCATTGCTCTATTTTAAAGAAATTTCTCTCCCCCCTCAAGATCTGAAGCCATCTCCCTCAGATCGGCGATCTGAAGGAGTGAAAGAGCAGAAAGGAAGGAAATAAAGGCATATTTTGTGCAACAGCAAGAGAAAGAGTGTTAAAAACTGAGTTAGAGAGCGAGAAAATCCTGGGGCTGCATTTGTGAGAACCAAAAAGAGAGACTTCAGGACTGGTATGAAGAGGAGTTAATTAAGATTAAAGCCAGTCCCCCCTGAGCAGTGTGAATGGAGAGCTGACAGTTGCTGTGTTAAATACAGATATTCCAGCTCTGAACCAGTGGCAGGGGAATCCCCTTACCCTTCCTGCAGCCAGGAATGGCAGGAAGCCTCCTGGGAGTGGTGATGCATTTTGCATTAGCACATGGTGCCGGAAAACTTGGATTCCAGCCTCCAAAATGTGCATAAGCAGGGTGGAAGAAGGGTCTGCACATCGAGCAAACTCCATGAAGTCAGTGCAGGAAGAGTTTATATTTGGGTTGGACTTTACATTTGAGCTTCCTGTTCTTGAACTTGTTTATATTTATATATATATATATATATATATGTATATATTTGAATTTCCTGTTCTGTAATAACACACCTGCTTGTCACTGCACATATATGTGTGTGAAATACCTGTGTGTGTGCACAGAACTGTGGGTTGAACCTGTATCCAATATCCAGGGGCAGACCTTGTAGGCCAAGAATTTAATCCTGTACTGAATTCTGTTCCTCTGGTTTTAATGGCAGGAACACTCCTGTGAAGACAATCTGTGTAAGGAACAAAACCACCTGCAGACAGAAGCGGCACCCAAGGAAAAGGTGGGTGAAAGAGGGGTGACTGCAATGCAGTTTTATTTCAGTTAATAAGATTATCACTTGTTCATGCTGATTAAAGAGCATCTGAGAACACCTTCAGATAGAACAGTTGTATCTGGGTGCTTTTTACACGCCCTGCTCCCACAATTAACTTTGGTAAATTATCTTCATTCATCATAGAAAATGGGGAAATACTTGTTTCCTCTCACATACCCAGGGAGACCCCCATGAGCAAAAGAGGAGTGTGCAGAGCAGGGTATTTGAAGCATCTTCTTTATGAGGAGCTGTGGTTTGTTAATTTATGTTGTGTCATTATGGGGTCTGTTGGGTGGATACTTCACTGTGCAAGAAACTTGCAATCGACCAACCACCTCTTCTTCATTGATTTACCATCGATTTTCAGAGCTGGTTGGACACTGTGGCAATGCCTTGACTCGAGTGAACCTGATTTATGGCTGCTGGGATTGTGACCTAGGGGGAAAAAAAGAATCACTTCCCACTGATATTTGATTATTTTCTCTCTTTTTGTTTTTTTTCCAGCAGAGCCTCTCCACACCCTCAGCCCCCAAGGGTGGGTGCCGCTTCTCTGAAGTGGGCTGTTCATTTAGGGTGAGTCCCTTCAGGAAGGTCCCAAATGTCCCACTCCGGTTTGGGTTTTCCCTTCAGGGTTATGTCTCTTCAAACAGAAGCAGCTCTTTGCATTTTAGTTGCTTTGCCTCCTTTTTTGTGCACAGTTTAGTGTGTTAAATATTGCCTGACCTGGGAATCCTGCTGGGACTCTGCCTGGCATCCTGTTTAATACCAAAATTGCCACCAACTGTTTGATTTTTTGTGTAGCACATGCAAATGCTTTGACTCGATGATCTTAAAGGTCTTTCCAGCCTTAGCAGTTCTGTGATTTTACACCTGCAGCCTGAGCTTGGAGGGTCTCCTGTGTCTCCTCTGATGCCAGCAGATGTAGCTGCACCTGCAGCCTGCAGCTTTTCCACCTCTGTCTCTCCCAAGAAGCCCCAGGCTTGCTGGGTTTGGCCCCACCCCACCCACGTGGAGGTCACAGAGGGTGTACTGACCGTGTCCCCTTCTTCCAGGGAAGCAAGGAGAAGATGAAGGAGCACGAGAAAGCTGCAGTTGGGGCCCACCTGCTGCTGCTGCTGCAGCACCTGAGGCAGCTGAAGGAAACCCTGTGCTCTGCTGCCAAGGCTACCCATGGTGCCACCCCCCAGCAGGAGCTGAACGGGAACAGGGCAGGAAAAATCATCTCCAGCCTGCAGATCCCAGCAGGGCTGGGCACAGGGGGGGATCTGGAAGTGGACTGTCTCCCTGGAGCTTCTGTTTCTGAGGATGAGTCCGTCCTGCAGCAGCTGGTGAGGGAGAAGGTGGTTTCTGAGCTGGAGAACAAGCTGCAGGTGTTTGAGAACATCGTGGCAGTGCTCAATAAGGAGGTGGAGAGCTCCACCATGGAAATCATGGCCTTCCGCAGGCAGAGCGAGCTGGACCAAAACATCATCCGAGGCCTCGAGCTGAAGGTAAATAGTTCCAGTCAGGATTGTCAGTGTTTTTGTTCTGTAGCCAGCAAATATTGACAGGTAGCAGTGAGAGGGATCAGGGCAGGGAGTGTGAGCTGGGAAGTGTTCAGTTCTGGACACATCCACGGGATCCTGTTGTTGTTTGGGATACGTTTTCAAGTGGGTATCTCCAGTGTTTGTTCTCTAAATCCACATTTAGGTACCCAGACGTTCCTGAGGCTTTTGAGTGTTCAGAGTTTGCCAGCATCAAACTGTGAGCAAGCCAGGCTGTGGTTTAATTGACTGATCCCCTTACGGCAGCACTTTGCCTGGAGGCCCCAACAACCATCCACCCACTTGTTTTGACACAGAGCTGTCACTTAGAAAGGAATCAAAGGAGAATTTCTGAACAGGAGCTCTCTCAGCTGCTCCTGCAGCACAGCCAGGATGGGGGGGGGGGTTGGCTGAGAATGGATTTGTTCCGTGCAGATCGCGGAGCTGCAGCGGTGCCTGACGCAGAAGGACGCCGGGCTGAGCAGCCTGCACAAGAGCCTGCTGTTCTCAGAGCAGGCCTCCTACGATGGCACCTTCCTCTGGAAGATAACAGAGGTGGGCAGGAAGCTCCAGGACTCCGTGACTGGCAGGACAACGGGGTTGTACTCACCAGGTAAAGCTCACGGTGGGGCCGTGTTGGGGCAAACCCTCATTTCTCCGAGCGCTGCTCCTTTCCAAACAGCTCCTTAATCCAGGATGCTGTCTGGACAAAGACCTGTAATCCAACTTTTCCAAATGGTTGTGCTCTGTTCTGGGCTCTCCTTCTGCAGTTTGCCCTCTGCCACAGCTACCTGCAGGGTCATTTGCTGGATCCCTGCCTCCCAATCGACAGCTCGGTGGCTGTGGCGCCACAGGGCTTCCTGCTGCAGCCATTTCCCACGTGGGAAGTAATTGGATTAGGGAAAATACCCTTGTGTGCCTAATAACAGGTAATTTTCACCCAGGCATGAGGCACTAAAAGGATTCCAACCCCTGGAATTTCATTGCTTGTAATCTCCAGGGGGTGCTGATCTGTGTGCTCTCCTCCCTGCCAGAGCAAAACACGGCACACGCCACCTCTTCCCACCCGCCAGGAACACTCAGCAGGTCTTCCTGTTTTTCCAGAGGAGGCTTCATTAACAAAGAATTCTGATTTTCAGCTTTCTACACTGCGAGGTACGGCTACAAGGTGTGTCTGAGGGTGTATCTGAACGGGGATGGCACCGGGAAAGGGACCCACCTGTCCCTGTTCTTCGTGGTCATGAAAGGAGACTACGACGCTTTGCTCCCCTGGCCTTTCAGGCACAAGGTAAGAAAGGAAACCTTCCCATGCCTGAACCCACTGCTTGTCCCACTCAGCACAGGGGGACTTCTCTGGGTTAGTGGAAGTCGGATTGTTTTCCCATTTCCCAGTCCGAAGGCCATCCTGGAATCCTGGGTGATAATTTATCTCTGACTGGAGTCCCTTCCAGGGAAAGCTGTTCCTGCTGATATTCCAGACTTTGCCTGCTGGGCTTTGCAGACACCACAATGTTCCAGATATTCCAACCTGTGTCCACCTGGGCTAAAGCCAGGCACACATTTTCTCCTGGCTCTTGCTAAACAGAGAGAATATCAGTTTATGAGGGAATTTGCTGCCTGAAGGTGTCAGAAGGGTGAGAGTTCCCCTTACAAAGGCGCCACAGATGTCTCAGGTGATCCTGGTCTGATAATGGCAACGTTGGTTAGAAAGGCAGTGAAAAAAACCTGGCAGGGCCTGACCTCTGCTCTGTGTGTGGTAATAATTCCATAAGCCTTTCATATAAATAGCTTTAAATAGCTTTGCTGCCAGTTAGCAGCCAAAAAAAAATGGAAATCAGAGTTCCCAATCTTCACTGTATTAAAAGATTGTTACATACCTTTCATATTTAAAGCTGAAGAACAGTGAGTTAATAAAAGGGGTAATGAGATGGGGAGATTCTCTACTGATACTTAGGTTGTGTCTTTTCCATGTTTGTGCCCAGGCAACTGAGCTGTTTCTTCTGATTCCAAACCACAACAACAGAGCAAATGTAATGAGTGTAACCAAACCCAGGCTTTGTTTAAGCTGTCGGGAGAGAGGAAAAAAAAAAAAAAAGGCCTTTGCACAGCTCAGCTCTCTCCCAAGACACAATTCCTTTCTTGATTTAATTTCACTTCGTTCTAGGGGTGGCAAAGTTTTAAAGGTCTCAGCTGGGAACTGTTACAATCTCCCCTGGTTCCCACCAACTGACCTTGGCTGGAAACGCTGGGTGCAGTTGGTGTTTAACTATCAGTTAAACTCCTGCCCCTGGGGTGCCCCGCTTTTATTTGTTCACTCCAATAACCATCCCTGCCTCCCAGGTGACGTTTATGCTGCTGGACCAGAACAACAGGGAGCACGTCATCGACGCCTTCCGGCCCGACTTGGCGTCCGCGTCCTTCCAGCGGCCGGTGCACGACATGAACGTGGCCAGTGGCTGCCCCACCTTCCTGCCCCTGGCCAAGCTGCAGTCCCCCAGACACGCCTACGTCAAGGAGGACACGCTTTTCCTCAAGTGCATCATAGAGACCAACTAGCAGGGCTTGGGATCCGGGGGGGATCCCCCCGCCCCCCCGCCCAAAAAGCCGCCGGTTGGAGGCCTCGTGCGGCTTTTCGGGTGCCCGCGAAGCCCGCTCGTGTCACCTGGAGGATCCCCCCCCTGCTGCAGCTGCCAAGGGGCTTCCCCCAGTGCCCACAGGGTGGGATTATTCCACCCCAACAGCCGCTCCTCCCGAGGGAGAAGTTGGTTCCATCACCCCCAGCCCCTCGGGGTGGGGTCTGTGGACGGAGCACCGCTCTCCCTCACACCCAGCCCAGCCGGGGTTCCTGGCAGGGAGTGAGGCTCAGATCCCTTGGATTGACAGGTTTGGGGGGTGCAAGGGGGAAGCTGAGCATTCCCATCCTCTGGCAGCACCGTGGCACGTGCAGCTCTGTTTGCAGCAGGCACAGAGTCCTGGCAGAGCTGCACCACCTGCAGCCCCAGGGTGGGATTGTGGCTCTTCCCAGCAGGACCAAGGCCAGGTTCTTGAACCTTCCAGGCAAGTGACTTATTGGAAATTATTGATTTTTTTTTTATTATTATTATTCCTTCTTCTCACATGCTTTGATGTTTAAAGTCATTTCACACCCTGAAACAGAAGTAACTGCATAAATGGTTTTTCTTTTTTTTTTTAATAGAAGTAAGAAATTAATAATTATATGGGTTTTTTTAAATGTGCAAGACCAGCTTGGGACTGTCTGAATGTGTGCAAAATCTCTCATTTCTGTCTTGACAACATCCTTTAAAATAATTAGTTGTGATAAAGTATCACATTTCAAAAACACCCACCCCATAAACAAATATTTATCAAAGCTTGTTTGGGAAGAAACTGGATATTCTTTGCCATCGCAGACACACAGTCTCTCTGCCTGTCTGTCTTTTCCTCTGTTCAATATTTAAAGTGTCTTTCAAGGACACAAAGTTATTTTTCCAGCCCCTGTAACCACACTGGGGTCATTTGCCTAAAAATATGCTTCTCACGGCTGTATCACTTTGGCAAGTGCTGTATTTATTACAATCATTCCTATTTTCTTACCATTTTATTTATTTCCTGAATAAAGCTCAGTAACTGAAGAAAGGTTGGGGTGGTATTTTCCCTGTAAAATGGGGACTTGAGCACCCTGGAGATGTGCTGATGGGGTTTGTTACAGAAAAAGCTGAGCTGTGCCACAGCTCTTTCCTTCTTCCTGGGGGAAGGAAGGTCTGTTTGGAGCTCAGGAACCACAGCCATGCCCACAACATCCACTCCCCTCCCACCTGCCCAGCTGGCAGAGCCCCCACAGGCTCCTCGTGTCCCCAGCAGTCGCACAGAGCACGCAAAGAGCAGCCGAATTCCAAAAAAAAAAAAAAAAAAAAAAAAAAAAAAAAAAAAAAAAAAAAAAAAAAAAAAAAAAAAAAAAAAAAAAAAAAAAAAAAAAAAAAAAAAAAAAAAAAAAAAAAAAAAAAAAAAAAAAAGTGGAGATGGATCAAATCCACGCTAAATAAACAAAAAGGACGTGAAACCCAACTCCTGCTGCTCTTCCTTCCAAAGGCACGGCTGGCACAAAGCAGCCCAACGGCCCCGGGGCTGGAGCAGCATCCTCGGGAAGGGCTCCAAGGAGCTCGACCTGCCCCTGGAGCCAGAGCATTACACGGCCCTCTGGAATGTGTGGAGCTGCTCTCCAAGCACAGGGCTCTGCTCCCAGCCCTGGCCTTCCTGGAAATGGCTCCAGGTTTTCATCCCCAAGACCTTGAGCCGCAAAACCCCCCTGGGGAAGGAAGTGGCTGATGCTTCAGGGAGCTGAAAGCAAGAGCTCTCCCATCCACCAGATCACTTCTGCTGCAGAAAGGAGCAGCCAAAGTCATTTTGGGTGGGTTTTTTTTTTGCCTGGATCAAATCAAAAGATGCAGGAAAAACCAGTGAGAATGGGATGGAGTTAAATCAGCCCCGTTTTGCTCCCTGTTTAGTGGCAAAGAGCCCCTGGGCTCCTGTAGCTACGACGCTCTGGAATAACCAAGGACAAGGTTTGTAGGGAAAGATCGCCTGTTTTTGGAAAGGACTAATGAAGGTGAATAAAACCAGGCAAAGTTTAGGCTTATGAGCTTCAGGACAGGAACTTGAATCTTGCACCCAGTGGCTTTAATTGGTTGTGTTGGTCAGTCAGATGGTTTTGGTGAAGAGGTGGTTGAGATTCTCAGAGCAGAAGTGTTGGCTGAGAGAGAGAGGGAATTATGGCAACGGCCTGGAGCTGCTGTGGTTGCAGCCCCTTCCATTGCCATGGATGTATCCAGCTGAATCTCCAGCTGGAAGTGGCACTTGGGAGCTGCCCTGCAGATCCCATCTCCACAGCAGGCCTGGAGCTCAGAGGCAGCTCCACGTTTGGTTTTCCATTCAATATTCCTCGCCTTCGGTCTCCAAGGCTACACATCAGCATCCAACCCCTCCTCCCACTCCTGTTTTCAAAGAAAGGAAAACACTGTGAAAAGAGGCTGCAACGGGTTCTGGGCAGTTTTCAAAGGCGAAGGGCAGCGCTGGGAGCTGCTCTCCCTGCTCACTCCGCAGGCTCTGCTCCAGCCAGGCCTGTGATTCTCCAGCTGCTCCATCCTCCTTGGGGCAGGAAAGCACCTCTGCAGGGTGTGGAGGAGTGATTCAAAGCTTTTAAGGGAAAACTGGGAGTTCTGGAGTAGTGAACTACCTGGGCCTTCATTCAAAACCTTCTGCAAATGCAGGTTTTTGTTTGGGCCCAGCAGTCCTGCCCTGGGAGCCCACGCTGGCCACACTCCCTGCCTGAGGGGGGTGTAGGATTGCTGGCACTCAGCTCGGTGGGTGCTGTGGCAGGAGCACCTGCAAAGAACCCAAATATAATTACGTGGCTTCATTCCTGTCAGGAAACAGAGGATGCATCTCAAATTCTTTTTTTTATTTTATAATTTAACTTTTGTTTGGAGCTCTTGCCCCAGGGCAATGTTACTGTGCTGGTGCTGGCTTTGGGGTGCCCTTTGTGTGCAGAGGCTTTCTGGGGAGGTTACTCCTGCTCACACCCCTGGTGAAGTTGGTCCAGAGTTGGATTTCCGTGTCTCACCATCCGCATTCCTGTGGGGAACGACCAACCTGCTGCAAACATCCCCGAGGGGGGCTGGGGAGGAGGGTGGTGCTCCCTGAGCCCCGCGGGGACAGGCTGGGACAGGAACGGTGCCCCGGGAGTGCCACAATCCGCTGGATTTGGGGCAAATCCAGCAGCTCCCATGCAGTGGAGCGGGAAGTGGGATTTGTCTGAGGGCAGGGCTGTGGTGGAGGGGTTATTTTAATCCCGAGGTGACTCACGCTATCCCAGCGTGACTCACGTGGAGCTGGGGCCTGGGGCTAGTTAGAGGTGTGGCACAGGATGGCACAGCATGGCATGGCATGTTGGACCACCTCCTTCACATCGTGCTGGGCTTTCCTTCTCACACAGACCTGCACAGAAGGAGCAGAGCAGCTGCTCAGGGAACTGTTTCCCACCCCCTTCGCAGGTGCAGCATCACCACACCAATGTTTCACGGGAAAGTTTGATTTCAAAGATTGTTCCTTAGCAGACAGGATTCGGTGTGTTGGAAAGGCAGCTCGGCAGCGTGCTGCTCATCCCTGGCACCCGGGGAGATGCTCATTTGCGGTTCAAGCCTTGCTGCAGGTGTACTTGGAGCCCCAGCTCGTGGTGCTGCAGGAGCTCATCCATCACAGGCAGGAAAATCCCTCTGGACTCGGCTCGCGCTTGGCGCAGCCCCTGTCCCGGGAATCGGCTCCTCCACGGCCCGAGCAGCCTGGAAAACATTGCTTTCTCAGGAGCGCTTTCCAACAAACAGCGAACTTTCAAATTTCTTCTTGGCACCGACCGAAGCGTTTTTTTTTTTTTTTTTTCAGTGAGAGATTTTTCCCTGTTGAGATTCAGAGAAAGGCTGAAAGGCTGCTCCCGTTTCCAGGAATCCCGGCGAGCACAGGTCGTTCCCTGTCAGGACAATGCTGTGCAGGCACTGCCCGCATCCCATCCCCGCCCGCCCCTCAGTCCTGGAGGCCCCGGGGGTGCCCTTTTCTGGCTGCAGCCACGCGTGGGAGGAGGGGGACGGGCGGGGAGGCCCTGCGTGTGGCGGGGGGTGCCGGTGCCTCTCCACGGGCCGTGGGTGTGTGGCCGGCCCGGGGTGCCCCGTCCTGGCCCCTGTGGTGCCTGCGGGGCACCGGGCGGGTTTGGACGGGTCCGAACTGAGCCGAACTGAGCCAAGCCGGGGTGCGCCCTGCCCGTCCAGCCCGTGCCCCGCCAGTCTGAGCCGTGTGTGCCGGTGGGTGCCGGTCCGTGTCGTGCTTGAAGGTTCGTCCCGGTCCGGTCCGGTCCGAGCCATTTTTGCCGGGCCGAGCCGAGCCGGGCCGGGCCGTGCTGTGCCTGTGGATGCTGGACGGTGCCGTGTTTGCGGTGCTGGTCGGTGCCGGTCCGTGCGGTACCGGTCCGTGCCGTGTCCGTGCCGTGTCCGCCGGGCCGGGCCGGTCCGTGCGGTGCCGGGCGGTGCCGCGGGGATGCGCTGCGCTGCGCCGCGGTGGGACCGGACCCGTGGGAGGCGGCGGGGGCGGCCCCGCTAATTGCATAACCGGGACGTCAATGCCGGCGGGAGCGCGGGGTTAGCGCGGGAAGATGGCGCCCCGCGCCCGGCCCCCGCCGCGCCCCGCAGCCCCCCGGCCCCGCACCCCGGCCGCCCGCTGAGCGCACCCCGCGGTAAGGGCCGGGCGGGGCCGGGCGGGGGGCACCGGGCACCGGGCGGGACGGGCGCACGGACGGGCGGACACACAGACGGACAGACAGACAGACAGACAGACAGACGGCGCCGCGGCCGCCTTTGAATGAGCCAATGGCGGCGGGGCCGCGGCCGCCGCCCGGGGCTGCCCGCGGGGACCCCCGGCAGGTGCCGCCGGGGCACGGGGGGGGACCCGCCCGGGAGGCTCCGCTCGGTCCCGCTGCCCGCCCGGCACGGGGGCGGCGTGGGCGCTGCCACGCGTGTCCGCGG